CAATGAATGAGCAGTATCTGCAAGCACTGAGTTTGTATCAGAGGTAGGGAGCACAATTTTCTCTTGCAACACAAGTGTGTTTGCTTGATGGCCGGAGCCTCGATATCAGTTAATACTGAGCCTCGATATCAGTTAATACTTGTACAGCCAATCAAAAGCAAGGAAACGGAAACTCTTCATTCAGCTAGTTGCCCTTGTAAGGCTTTAAAACGAGAAAGGAATGAATGAAATGTCGGTGATGTTTTATTAACACGCTTGTTCTGACATAAAATATTCATATCTCAGATATCTCAGATATCTCAGCTTCTCGCCCGTAATTTCAAATTTGATTTGAAATCACACGGTTATTACCCGGTTACTACCTGAGTTGTCCCCCGGCTAGTCCTAGTATTTCCACTTAACCAAGTAAATTCAAGAATTTTTGTTGTAGTTTTGATTGATTTCTTTTTATGACATAGGATATTCCCCTCCATTCATGTCGGTTTATGCCTTGGTCACGCGCGTCATACAACGTGTCACTTGCATATTCTACCTGTTATTTTACAGGTTGATGAAAGAGCCTTTACCAGTTCCCACTCTGCCGTATGGATATGGAAGCAGTCCCCAGGCTTCTATGAGCATGTATCAGGCGCCAGGTTCCGCAGGACAGCAATATCCTCAAGTAAGGACGATGAACTTCTCGCAAAGTTCACACGAAAGCGATGGCAGATAGTTCAGTTTTTATTATTCATCTCAGATTTTGGTAATTGGCTAAATTATAACAGCAGGTTGCCTTGTGCCCTTAAAAGGAAATTCTCGAAGCAAGTGACACGGTTAAGAAAGAAAAGGACGATGTTTGAGCTTTTAAAATTGTTCTTTACTCTTTCCCAGGCTCCTCAGCTTTATGCCCCACATCCTGCAGGCTATCCCCAGGTCTCTCCTCCTACTTCACTTCAGTACATGAGCGACCCAGGCACTGTAATGGGATCGTCTGGTGTGGTGAGTGGTTTTCTATCTCCTACTTACGTCGCCTTACAATCTGAGAGCGAATAGTTTGCAAACGGGCAGCGATTGTGTAGTGTGTGTTAGGAGCAAATGGGCTAGGATGATGAATGAGTGTGTTGTTGGTGGGGCATTAATGAGTGGCAGATGGGGAAGTGGAAATGTCGTGGTAGGGGTGGGACTGGGTTACTGGCACGGCGCTAAGAACAGCGGGCAGCACTCTTGTGTTTGTTTCCCATCGACCACTGACCCTATACGCATTAGAAAGATCGTGGTTTATCTCACATGAAGGGGATGGACAGTTACGTTAAACTGGACGATGATTATAAAACCTTAAATTAGTTCTTTAGTGTAGATTCAGAGGTACATTCACGATAGTTTGACTCTAAGCGATTTTTGTTTGCATTCCAGAGTACGGCTTATTCCAGTCAAGGTCCTGTGCAACCCTATGCAGGTCACGTGCCTAACCAACCTACACAGCCCAGCCAGGCACATTATACTGCTCCCCAGGCATCAATGCAGCCGCGAAACAACGTTCAACAAACGTTCCCGAGCCAACAACAGGTTCAAGCACCACCGATGTCCTACCAACAGCAGCACCTACCCTACCAACAGGGGTTCCCTGCGGCACCTCCCGAGTACCCATCCCAGAGTGCACCACAGGATTACTATGGCCAGTCCCTAACACAACCTAGTGCATCAGGTTACCCGAGTTTCCCCGCGCAGCCACAGATGGTTTATTCGCAGCAACCGCTGATCTGATAGTGACAGTGCTGGTAGTCTCATCTTGAAATATTTCTTAGCGTTTAAATTTCGCTGATTAAAAGCAGCAATATAATTCGCCTTATTTCGGGCGGAATTGATCATGTAAAAACGATTCTTATCCTAAAAATTAATGGATTAATTTAACAAAATTTGATAAAGTGGAATCAAAAATAGGGTCGAAAATGACTGCTATCTAGAATTCCAAAATGAAAACGGGTGAACTTTGGCGGAGCGTGGGTTCGATTCATTTTCACAGTAAATTATCGAACGAGAAGGAAAACATTTCTCTAAATTATCCGTCAAGGTTTGATCTTCCCTCCCTCTTCATCGATATTTTAGAAGTTTGCGAAGGCATAACTACAGTTATCTCTTGTAATCATTTCCAAAGAAGTACAAAGTGGAAGAAGTTATTTCTTATGAAGTGTTCTTAAACGATACCAATAAAGAAAAAAGGAAAATCAACTTGTACAAAACGATTAACAGTACCACTTGTAAGTAGGACGTAGTACATGTAGCTGTAATTTGAAAGGTTTCACACAAGATATCTTGTGATCGCACCGCACGGCTTAATGAGCAGTGCCAAGTGAATGCACTGAACTGTTATTAGAAAGCCATTCTCGGCTTACACACAGTCCAAACGGTTAGATTTACCTTGTTTAGAACAGTAAGCAATTCGCCTAAAAGTGCTGCTTGGTAGCTTTAACTGAAACAGTTAGAGGAATTTATACACTCATTTAACCCTTTATACTCTGACATCAGTATGCATATTCCCCATACTGTTTTCTATACATTTGATAAGGTGCTGACATGGAGAATTTGTTTAACAATCAAGAGCTTTAGTTTCTTTACTCTCCTGACCATAATGTTTGATTTAGGGGCGATATGGTTAGGAGAGATTAGATACTAGTCACTCTTAGGGGTTAAGGCGGTAAAAGTTTTTGCACAGTTTACACAGTAATAAACAGTAGCATATGCACGCTCGTGACTTAAATTTATTTAACTACTCGCGCAGTCGGGTTTTAGCCTCGCTCTTAAAAGTTAAATATACTTTGTACAACAAAACTGACATCACTGGCAAATGAAAGTATTGCCTTAGCGCTTCAACTTAGCCTCGTGGAGGCGAAGAATTGTCAATCAACGATTGATTATGGTTATGGATTCGAAATTCAATCTTTTCATTTGCCAGTTAAGTTAGCTGTAGTTCGTTCCTTTGTTTTACTATTATTACAAACTTCTTTCGAAATTTTTGCTCAGTATTTGAATGTTGAAATTATAAGTTAGAAGCGGCAATTAGACCAGACCAAGTGGAATGAAGTGGGTACTTTATGAATATGGTCCTATCAGAAATAAACGAAAAAAGTAGTCATTGATTATGAGAGGTAGTTAGATTTGTGTTTTAATCCGTTATACTGTAGGGAAACCAGTGTCCTCAGAGGCAGTAGGAAGGAGGGTGACATGCCTGAAATTTTGAGTAAGAAGTTGTAATTAGACCAGACCAAGTAGAATGAAGTGGGTGCTATCAGAAATAAAGGAAAAAAAAGTAGTCATTGATAATGAGAGATGGTCAGATTTGTGTTTTAATCCGTTATACTGTTGGAAAACCGTTGTCCTCAGAGGCAGAAGGAAAGAGGGTGCCATATTTGCTTCGTGAAAACGAAAAGACGAGAAGATGATCGATTGCCGAAGATGCTAGCGAAAGTACCAAGGCATCCAAGTAGAATGAAGTGGGTGCTATCAGAAATGATGGAAAAAAAAGTTGTCATTGGTAATGAGAGATGGTCAGGTTTGTGTTTTAATCCGTTATACTGTTGGAAAACCGTTGTCTTTAGAGGGAGAAGGTAAGAGGGTGCCATGTTTGCTTCGTGAAAACGAAAAGACGAGAAGATGATCGATTGCCGAAGTTGCTAGCGAAAGTACCAAGGCATCCCTCCTCATTTGTTTGCAGGAAACATTGATAGTGCAGCATTACATTAACATCATGATCTTATGTCAAATCGTTCTATCACAATTGCCAAAAAAGTGATGTGTTGTGGCCAAAGAATGCATAAATGATTCAGGGCGACAGTGATATAAAAACAGCTGGATATTTCGCCGCCAACTTGATGTACTTTTGGGAAATTATGGGAGTTTTGGTTCGCCCGGTGTACGATGTGCCCCCTCCCCCTCCCTCGGACGTGTAAAAATGCTCGGCCGCCTCGGACAAAATTTAAATTCCGAATCAAGTGTTCTTCATGAACGGCATGATAATCAAATAACAAACAGGATAAATTCGATTCAGCAATGAAGAATGATGTGCGAGAATCATCTTTGTAATGTTGTTTAGTCTCTTCAAATTACACAATTTTGTTTTCAAGAAATTAGTTCATCTCTTGACTTTTGAAAGCCGGACAGAGTGTGAATCTTTGAATTGTCAAACACAGATACGAAGGACTTTTTATTACGATCAATAGGAAAGTTTTTCATTTTCCATTCCTATCCTCATTTTCTTTTAAAATAAGGTTCTTTAACAATCTTGGAATGGCAGTTTAATCAATACGGTTATAATTCTGGTTATTTATCTCGGCAAGTTGAATAAACAAGACAAATCGATCATGTTCATTTTGAATTTACTCCTGACAGTAAATTCAATCGTATCTGTTGTTAAAAGAATCTGACGGTTTTGCTACAGAGCACGACTCTAACAATTTTTTGCAGATCACAAAAAAAATCGTCGGTTTAAACAATCCCATTCTCCCACCAAACTGACGTTCGCTGAGCAACATAATGAGGTCGCAAACGTTTTTTTTCTTCGCGATGACAGTCACTTACTAATTTAATTGCTCATTCTCGTTGTCTACAAGCATTATGTTCACGGCGAACTTTTGAAAGCCGGACAGAGTCAAAATCCTTGAATCTTTTAACTGTTCACTAACTCGCTCATTCTCGTTGTCTACAGTCATCATGTTCAGCGAACTTTTCAAAGCGGGACACGTACAATTATAGTCTTTGCATCTTTTAATTGTCAAACACAGATACGTGAGGCTTCTTGATACGATTAATAGAAATTTTTTTTCATTTTCCGTTCTTATCTTCAGTTTCTTTTAAATAAAAATGAGGTTCATCAGCAATCTTAGAGTGGCAGTTGAATAAATACAGTTATAATTCTGGTTAATTATTTTGGCCAGTTGATTAAACAAGAGAAATCGACCATGATATTTTTAAGTTTAATCTTAAAAATTAACTCAGTCGTATTTAAGTTCAAAAGAATACACAGTTTTGCTACAAAGCACGACTCTCACAATTTTTTGCAGATCACAAAAAATCGTCGGTTTAAACAATCTTCTTTCACCAAACTGACGGTCGCTGAGCAACATAATGAGGTCGCAAAGGTTTTTTTTCTTCGCGATGACAACCGTCTACAGTTTTGTTGTTGTTTTATCAGTAAGTTCTGCTGCTAAATTGAAATTTTCTTCCCGAACAAAAGTTTGTTTTTCTGCGTATCCAATTCACTCACATCTCTGATATATCACCATAGCAAAAATCTTAGGTCTTATTTCTTGGTTGTTATGAAGGGCAAAAGACTGACTCGCTCATTCTCGTTGTCTACAGGCATCATGTTCAGCGAACTCCTGTATAACACAGGTTAGTTATGAACTTGCTACTTTATTTAAATTGGCTTCAAATGATTTTCGACTTTTCAACTCCAGTGTTGAGTAAACCTTTTATAATTGTGCAAAGACTATCAACATATTTTTTTGCAAGGTTATTATTAGAAAATTGGAAAATCTTTCTTTGCAAGGGAATATCATCAGTTGTTCTTCACTTTAAGTCATAGGCGTAAGCGATGATGAGACACGTTTTAACAAATCATTCGTCTTCATTTGTCTTCCCCGAAAAGAGAGCTTGTTCACAGGATATATATTTTCGGGCAAAAATATTTGAACAATTATAGTAATGACGACTGATTATCTACAAATTCTTTTGTAGGAAAGGGTATTTTATCATCAGACCATGACTCCATCCTGGCTGGAAATGTACGCATCATACATTGACAGCTCACGTGTACTGACCGCTTCACAGCTTACATTCAACGCTGGAAACGTAAAAAATGCTGCTCTTTTAAAGATTCCCATGATTCCTGCAGGTACACTCAGAGATTCAATGCCGCTGACAATTGAGATCACGGTCGCACATGACGTGAGCATCGGACAAGGAACTGACAGCGATATCACATATGGTGTGTCAGATGGTACCAGAATTATTGGTTTTACCACGTGGGACAAATTGAACTTTAATGACCGCTCTCCTTGCGTCGGGGTGGAAGGTGACTCCGGATCTACCTTTAAGGGTATTCGCTTCGAATCACTTACGCCGAAAGCAAGCGACTCTTTCTACCCTGGTCAGTATGACATCACTCTCAAGCTGGATCAACGCTGGGGATCGTGCTACACAGCGCATGATGGAGGCTTCGTGAGGACCGCTGGCTTCAACAATCGACTGATGTTCAGTAAGGGACTTACATTGGAGGTGTACAAAGGCGACAAAGACGAGAAAGTTGGCATACGATTCATCAAGGTCACCATCATAGAGGATGAGGCTTAGAAGAAGGGATCTTGCGACCGAAACCAATCGATTCCATCGGCATTAGAATAACTGTAACCATGGTTATAAGGACAGAGGAATTTAGATGAAGAAACAAAAGCAAGAAATCTTATAATTGTACACGTTTTTGATTGATGAATAAATGTGCATATTGACTTTGAGATATTTTTCACGCAAGATACCAGAGAAAACGAGCGGGCAACTTAATTTGTGATGACATCACATTAAATCATAATATCTATTTTATTTTTGTTTTCATAATTTTTATCGTTCGAGCTGCTGGTTTCTTAATCAATATATTGAAAAATCTTCAAATCCGCTAGTTTTTTTTCAATGAAGATTTTGGTATTTGAGCGAGAAGTTCGGTAATTTGGAAGAATTAGACAACTTTTTTTAAGGAGCTCGTACTAATAGTTACAGCTGAAACAGAAACAAACATCTGATCCCAGATAAATATTAGTTCTGATTAAAAATTATGAAACACTGAAACAAACAAACAATCAAACAAAAATAGTCGTCGTCCCGAGTGTGCGACAGGCTGGGGCGAGCCTCGCAGACCATTGTTGTGTAGGACCACATGAAAACTCACATTGAAATTCACTGTCCCAACACGAATGATTCGGAGGAGCTTTAGCCACCTTTCGCGTAAGGTAAGGCATGGATCGCAATCATTATTCCCTATGTATTGATATAATGAGGACTTTGAAGTATGCAGCTACCTTAATACCCTCCTAATAGTCTCAAAACGATAGTAACAGTCTTTATTTGCGACCGCGATCGATGAAACTCACAAACGACCACAAATCGTAGGGTTAAGAAATCACCTTCTTTCTCTTAATTTCTTTCCAATACAACATGCTTTCTTTGTAAAAGCTATATACGAGTGAAATGTTAAAGTTGCGACCACTACGACTTACCCCATTTCCACCGTAACAAACCCCCTCCCTCCCCCCTCCCCCCTCCCCTTCCTAGGTGGGAAGAATTGCGTTTAGAAATAGAACTGCATAGCTACCGTCTACTTTAGTATTATCGATTGAGTCGATAACTTAAATTAGCCACTGCAAGTTGATTGTCAGAGCAATAGAGGATTACAAGTGCTTTTCATTCAACTTACTTATCTTATTTTCTTGTCACCATATTCCCACCAATAGCGTATCTCCATTTTCTGTATACAAAACACACAAAACCCATTATTCCTCCAATTGCTCTAATGAAGGGCTAACGCTTGAAAATTTCAGGTTTTAAACTCTTTATGGTGGCCAGTTTATGTTATCAACTCAGTTGATAATACTAAATCACCCTGTTATACTCTCCCACTGATGCAGGACTATAACCCCTTTATGCATAACTACTGGGTGAAGTGGAAGAGGGGGTTTGGGGGGGGGGGACATGGTGGAAGGGTATAGTAAAGAGTGACAACTTGATGTTTAGCTAAATGCAACTTTTTAGTGAAGCATGAGGTCTCTGCCTCCATGCTAACCAGAACAGGTCCAAAGTTGCACAGAGACCTCTCCTACACATGTAATAAGACATATCTTACATTTTTAGCCTATTGGCCAGCTGGTAAAAAAAGTCAAGATTGTTGAAGTGGGACCAAGAGATGGACTTCAGAATGAGCAGGTAAATGGGAAAGATTAAATATGCACCCAATTACCTTAATCTTACATTGTTAGTGTTGAGTAAGGTGCCATACCTTCTTATCTATGATGAAAATGATGATCAAAATGATACCAATGATGTGTTGTAATGATAGCAACAATGAAAGCTTGCTGTGTTCATTTTATTCCAGAGGATTGTTCCCACTGAAACAAAGATCAGTTTGATTGACAAGTTGTCAGAGACTGGCCTTCAGACAATAGAAGCAACCAGTTTTGTTTCACCCAAATGGGTTCCACAGGTATGTTAGGGGAGGGGAGGCTAGAGAACAGAAGAGTGGGCTGGTATACTTTAGAGGATAAGTAAGATGTGTAGCTAAAGAGAAACTCACCCTTAAAATTTGGCAGAATGCTCTGCAATTCAAGCTTCTCTCAGAATAAATCTAACAAAATAGAAGTGTTCAGTGGCCATGATACAAGAAAGAGTGCAGCACTTTCTTGAAAACAACACATTTACTAACCTTGCAATTCCTCTTTTGCTTGTGATAAACCTAAAAAGATAATTTTATGCCAAGTTGTGAAAGACTCCTGCAAGAGTTATGCATCCAGACAAAATGTTCAATACCTAACCAACTCCCTAAGGAAAGATTTGACTGAAGATAGATTTTCGTGCTCTTAACTATTTAACCCAATAGAGTAACTAGCATTTAATTTCTACTAACAGTTTCACCCTTGAATCAAACAGTGAGATGATGAGAATAGAAGAAATGATCTGCAGCTTCAGAAACTTTTGATTGTTGAACAATTTCTTTGTGTCAGAACTTGCAGAAGTGCTTTGAAAGCAGTACAGTTTGAGCACAATTTGGCTCAAAATTGAACCATCAAAGAGCAAAAAGTCTGTAAAATAGGATAAAATTAGTTGATAGTGAATATTTTTGAACAACATTTACCACAGCATCTCAGAGAAGGAATAGGAACCTCGATCAGAAGTCAGGTTCTCCTCTGTGTAAATTCTAAAAATAAGTTATGGATGCTGTTTTATAGATGGCTGATCATGAACAAGTCATGCAAAGGATAAAGAAAGTTCCAGGCATTTCTTACTCAGTGTTGACCCCAAACTTCAAAGGTTTTCAAGCAGCGGTTAGTGACACAGTAACATAACATAATGTAGACATATGGATCACATGTGCTCCAGATGGCCCAGGTTGATATTTAGGTCTGAGGTTGATTGACATATTGGTTGATAATTAGGAGATATCTAGAAGTGACTTGTCAGTAATCTGGAAGTGGATTGACAGTCAGCCATTGGTTGACTTACATGGACGAGCTGTAGACTGTCTATTGAAATGTCAAGGCATGAATGATCTGCAGACTATCATGTCCAACCAACCACTGACTATCAATGGCCAATCATATTCATAGTTAAAGCATACAAACACAAAATCTTAACTGACTGGGGCTCAGATCTTCATGCAGACTCTTTCTTTGTTATTTGCTTTTGACATCAATTAAAAATCTTTTTCTTTTTGTAACCATGCATCTGAGTGTGTTTTTAATTGACATTTGTAGTTGGAATGTGGAGTAAAAGAAGTGGCCATTTTTGGAGCTGCCTCAGAGTCATTCAGTAGGTAATGTTTTTTCTATATCTTCAAGATGATGCTGCAGTAAGTGACAAAATCAAACAAGAAAAAAGCTGAATGAGACAATTTCCAAGGTTTCCTAATTTAGTTGTTACAGACCAGTATTGGTTTACCTCTCTAAAATAGTTCTCCTTTGAACAGTAAATTGTTTTTTTTACCCACTCAAAGGAAAAACATCAACTGCTCCATATCAGAAAGCCTACAGAGATTTGAAGTTGTTTGTGAAGCTGCAAAAGAAAACAACATTCCAGTGAGAGGGTGAGATGTCTTTACATAAAATGTGTTTGTTTATTTTTTTCAGTTACAGTCATGAGTAGTACTGAAGAATTGCAAAAGCACAAGTATGTACTTATATGTTTCAGGTGGCGTTATTTCATTAAATGTCATCTAAAAGCAAAATGAAATTTACCAGGCTAACTTTTGTACATCATGTAGTTATGCCAAATCTGTCCATACTCTGCAGATCATAATTAAGTTATTTATATCTGAGAGTGAGGTCTTATTGCTCAATGAATACAGCAAGACCAAGAAAATGATGCCCACAGCACCCAGCTAATCACAGGGTGCCCAATTACATCTGTTACTTACACCAGCCATACAATAAACAATCAATTTAACTAATAATTGACACAGCCCTGTCTAATTAACTAAACAAAATGTGACCAAAGATCTTGCTCCGAATGGTATACCCATTAATTTGAAGTCAGAACATCCTACCTTTAAGTTTCCCAATGTCCCTTCTTATACTAAATTGAAATTTTCATGGACTCAAGATTTAGCTTTTACACTTTCAGGTATGTTTCTTGTGTAGTTGGCTGTCCATATGAGGGATCTGTAGCTCCAAAGGCTGTAGCAATGGTAAGATTTAGCACCATAATTATCAGGAATGGTAAAAATTAAGACCCACTGAGACAATGTCACTAAGACTTAAAGATTCAACAAGTTTTAGACTCGACTTGGATGATGACTGCCGAAGTTATCTGATTTCATCAAATTTCGTATTTTTCCCAAGGTAACGAAGAACTTGTTTGACATGGGGTGTTATGAAGTTTCTCTTGGTGATACTATTGGTGTTGGAACTCCAGGTTTGATACACTTACTGTTGAATGAGACAAACAAAAATTTAGTATTTAACAATTTAAGCGCTTCTGATCACTTGGAATATTAAAAAGTGTGCTATAAATTAATAAATATTCATTGAGCATGATGCTTTTGATATTGCTGGTCTCAGCTGTGTGTAGGACTGTTTTTTGATGGGAAAAAAATTTGTATCCTCAGTCAGTAAGTACACATTATAGAATGATATGACTTAGGATGATTTTCCTCTTTGGCCAACTGAAATTGGTGTATATGTAGGTTCCACTCAAGCCATGTTGGAGGGTGTTTTAGAGACAGTCCCAGTGAACCATCTGGCTATTCACTGCCACGACACATACGGTCAGGCTCTGGCGAATATTCTCACTGCGTTACAAGTAAGTCAAGAATGAACGTGTGCGGCAAACTAAGAGTTTGCCAGACTTTCGCCGTTTTTTCATGTTACGTGGCTATTAGAGAGATTAAGCCCAATGACCACAACCGACGGCTACTTACACGGCCGATGTTTTTCGACTTCAAATTTAGCACATTGAAAATACAACTTAGTGACCACTTGAATCCTGTTGAAAATTCAGTTTATTAGTTCTCTGTTTCTTGTTTTCATTCAGTTAAACCTTGTTTAACTAGACATCAACGGAAAGCCTTTTATTTTCAACAGCTGGGGTTAGGGACAGTAGATGCGTCTGTCAGTGGTCTGGGTGGCTGTCCCTACGCACGTGGGGCATCTGGAAATGTCGCTACAGAAGATGTGGTTTACATGCTTTATGGAATGGGAATTGAAACGGTTTGTTTTCATTTCAATGAGATCAAAATGAATGTGACACAAATTTACAGTGTAAGTTTGTGCCACAGTAAATGTATACGAATTATCAGAGATCGTCATGTTTCCACTGTAATTCGTGCGTTGTAATCCAGTGCCCATGAAAAAAAATATAGACGAAAAAGGAGACACGCGTCTACACCTTTAGTGGTAAATGTAGCTAGGGATCAGTCATTCGAAGGAAAACTTGAACTAAATACCGAAACGGTAGGATCGAAAATATACGAAAATTGTGTTAAGAAAGTATCAAGAAACAAGAATGAATATGATTGGCGATAACTTTTTTGACGAGGTGCCCCGAGTTTAAAAGCCCATCTGATCCAACTGCCTGTGGAAATCATTCTGTTGTATTTTTATTCATAAGGGAATTAATTTGGACAAGTTAGTGGACGCAGGACAGTTCATCTGCCAAGCCCTGGATCGAAAAACCTCCTCGAAAGTAGCTCAAGCGAGAACAGACGGTCAGGAAGCGAAAAGCTGATGACATATCATAAGGAAGTGGCTGGTCTCAGTCTCAATGTCTCTCCGTAAGGGTGTGACTTTCTCTAAGTGCTCAAAATATATTTATTTAATGTTTATTTGGAGAATCTGGTGATAAATGAACCCAGAACAATTTGGCCAAGTCGTAACGGGTTCGCAAGATTTTCGCTCGACCATTTGTGAGATTTCTACAATAGACATGAAGAATTCAGGCACTAAACAGACTACTAAGTAATGATTTCTCACCCTTGTTAACTAGAACTTAACACGTAATTTTTCCCAACAAAGAAATGATGAGAGAAGGCAATCCTGGTAGCTTATGGTATGACTATTCTCCTTATCATAAAACAAAGGGGTGGGTGGATGTTGAAAGGGAAAGATTAATGTCAGATATTGTTATTTGCTGGGCAAAGATCAGCTCAATACACGTTTACGACGGTTCTGATATCGAAAAAAAATTAAATGCTATTTATAGCCTTTGTAGCGACAGACCGGTATGTTACTTTTTTTGCCAAGCAAGGTGAAGATCCTATCATCGTGGGTGAGCTGCAGTTGAATGAATTGTAGAAAATGAGCCCGTTAAGATACAGCCTTGAATAAAATTCAAACCTGTGCCTCCCAGACATTACTGCAAGGCCCCACTAAGGCCACATGGGAGTGAGTCGAGGCAGCCCAGCTTCGAGGATCGCCTATGCTTGTGCTTTTTATACGAAGGTCAAACTATGCCCATTGTATGACGTTAGGGTAAGGCGCAAAAATACCATCAGCTCGAAAGTGAGGCGCGCTTCCCCTCCCACCACGTCCGTTAATAATTTCTTTTCTTCTCCCCCTCCCTTCATGTCTGACAGTAGTTTCCCCTCTCCTCTCCTCTCCTCCTACGTTTGTGTGTAATTTATTTTCCCCCTTCCCTCTGGTTCGTCAGTAATTTCTTCTCCCTTCTCCCTTCTCCCCCCCCCCTCCTCCCCATTGTATGACACCTTCAAAATAACATTTAGCGTTCATGCGGGCGTTCTCTTCAAGTCTGATTTTTATTCAGTTATAATTTCTAATCAAGCATACAAGGGTCGTATTTTCCAATTCTATTGCGAAAGTGTCTCTAGCTTTAAAAGTATGAGGCAAGTGCTCTATGTGCTGATAAAAGCCATTGGATTCTGTATGAACATTTCACTTTTTCTGCTCTAAGAAGCGTCTTCCATGATTGTGACTTTTATGTACTTGATACCAACTCGTTCGTTTTTGTCAGTTTTGTACACCTCGAGTGTGAGTCCCTTGCTGAACAATAATCGGTTATTATAGTCAGCGGTCTTCACGAAGCCTGCGTCATGCGCTGTATAGCACGACCCCCAGCGTTGATCCTAATTGATAGTGATGACGTACTGACCGGGGTAGAAATAGTCGCTGGCTTTTGGTATATGTGGCCCATATCTCGAAGCAGTGAAAGTTGCACCCGAAACGCCTTCCAATCCGTAGCATGGAGCACTCAGATCGTTAAAATTTAACCTGTCCACAGTTAAAAATCCAACGAATCTGGTACCGTCTGATATGCCATATTTGATATCGCTGTCCGCTCCTCGGCCTATGCTGACGTCATGGGCGACTGTGATCTCTACGGTCAACGGCGTGAAATCTCGTAGGCAACCAGCATGTACCAGGGGAACCTTCAAAAGGACAGCCTCTTGAATTAAGCCGGCGTTGAATGTGAGCTGTGAAGCGGTTTGCGAACGTGAGCTGTCAATATAGGACGCATACATCACCAGCCAGGATGGAGTCATGGTCTGATGATAAACAACTCTTCCCTAAAATCAGTTTTCAAATGTGGAAGGTGATTGTTATCACAGAAAGGCTGTTGATAATTGTTGTCAGTGGAAACTCTCCACAGACAGTCATCCTTCTACAAAGGCCAATTTCTTTTGTCTAAATATTCTTCATCATTCCAATGAAACTCTCATGAGCGGCCACTGAATCACATTTCAACAGCTAAAATAGGCTATTTACATGGGCGAGTTCATCAATAAAAGTTGAACGATATAACACAGAAAAAGGTCTTGCTTTTAACCAGATGATAATCGAAAACTCATCTCAAGCGAACGTTCAACAAACTGATACATTTGCTGTACTTTGTTCATTTTGTTTTGTTAACATTTCACTCTTGAAATTTTTTTTCCCTTCAATACATACAATTTAGAATTCAAAGGTCTTAAGTTCGTTTTCCCATGAAGACTTTTTCTGTTGCACGCTCGTGAGAAGACGAAAACCATCTATCACTATTTCATTACCATTATGCAGCCAGCTGAAATCACCAGCAGTTTTAAACTGACCTGTGATGCGCAGGGGCCTGCTGAACATGATGACTGCTGACAGCAAGAATAAGCTACCTAGAAACAAAGATGACAAAGAAATGAATCCAGTAAGATTTAGAACAACAAGCTAGGAACTAGGGATAAGTTTTTTGCTTTTTTTTTGTTTTGTTTTGTTTTTTGCAAGGACTCCCTTTACGGACGCTCTACGTGCCAGAAAGGTTCCACCCCAGTTTTCATTTGTAACCAGTTGAAGGAAAAAAATAACTCGAGCCTCTGACGCTCCAAAAAAAGGAGCTTTTAATTGATTTACCTGGAAAACAGCAGCGAAAACAAAGACGACTTTGATCGAGAAAAACAAGATTGATGACTTCATATCGGTACACAGGTAGGCTAGTAAACTCTTGTAGAAATATTGTTGCACTCCACGATCTCTGATAATCTACAGAGAAAAGCATACAATACTCGTTCCTTTTAAGCGAAACTTCAGTTGATTTTGAGCTCAAATGAAACTATGTCAGTTTTCTAAAGCAGATAGAATAAGGGCTGATTCATTTGTTTTGTCCGATACCGCGTCAAATGTTTAGAGAGTGTATTGATTCATCTGCTCCGCTAGAAGTGCTATTGGTAGTATAGGGGTTGGCGGTACGAGATCACAAAGTAATCGCGTACAAAAACGCCAACTTTCTATACTACTTTCCTTATTATGAAAATTATTTGACGTAATAATTTGATGAAATTGTTTGATGGAATTATTTAATGGAATCATGTGATGGAATAATTTTATAGTATCAAAGCGTTGGAATACTGTAGGAGACTAGCGATATGATCTCACAGCATTTTTCCTTTGCGTGACATTCTCAGAAAAACAGGAAATCAATGATGTAACAGGGACTTTCCCGAGGAAATGAGTCCTGAGTATTTTATTCTTCATACGACAATTGAAATAGAGGTTTCCCACGCGTCGGAGTTGATGGTGCACGACACTGTTTATGAAGATTATGGATCTAAAAAAATCACATATAATGGTATATGATGATGCATTGCAACGATGTAATTCATGAGGAATTTAAGAATATGGGACAGATTTATGGTCCAATACTTACGAGCAGCTTCAAGAACGTACTGTAAAAAATGAACATTGTTGTGAAAATACGAAACTTGAAAACGATAACGGAGAATATGTATGTGTAAATTGTGGCAAGGTTGATAGATTTGAAATGGTAAATGAGTACATCGGTTACATTGAAAATAAATTTAAAATTATGAGAAAATCAATTTATCATAGAAAGTATCACATTCAGAATGCAATCTTTGATATAGGCACAAGATATAATATGCATATATTAACGAATGACAAAAATAAGATATCAGAGATTTTTGAAAAGATCGAGTGTGTTACCTCAGATTAATGGTGATTGCAAACGGATGATCAGTATCAGAGTGTCTCCAATAGGTTTTTCGGGATCCGGGATTGGGCTTAATTAGAGGCCGGAATCCGGGAATTTAAAGTAAGAAGGGAGCGATATTCGGAATTGTTATTATGAACGGGACACGGGAATCGGCGATTTTGTGGAGCGGGATTCAGGAAATAATCACTTAAACGAACCGAGAACCGGGATGTCCGTTGACGAGAATTTATGAAGAAATTGATATTCTCAGTCATGAAAAGCACCAGGCATACAGGCTCTCTAACATTCAAGAGGCGGTCGGGCTGCTCAGCGACATTCTTCAGTTATTGTGCGGGAATGAAAATTATATCAGAAGCGAAAGTTGCCAATCTATCAAAAATCCTCAATGGCCCACAGGGTAACGTGATCAAAGACTGCTGCGTCAATTGAAATGCTTAACGGCGTTGAAAAACCTCCTGCAAGTCTCAGAATTGTACCGATATGATGCTCTTAACCTGTTGAGTTACATGACACTAGATGTGAAGAACGTTCACTCGGTTGTGCATCACAAAGCTAAACTTTTCACGGTGTTAGACTACCCAAGGAACTTTGGAAATGTAGCCTTAGAAGGCTTGATGAGGACAACCCATTGGGCGGCGTACTATTTTACAAATCCAAATTCTTGGTATCCTTTACCCGAACGTGCTAGGATCCTGTCATACATACATACATACATACATAACTTTATTTGATAACGCAGGTTAAAATTTGCGCAACTTTACAGCTGATGTGGACCTGCCTAAACTAATTAGTCTATAATTATATAAAATACAGATATGATAAAATTTATAAGTTGAATAAATCAAGTAAACCATAAAGTTTTAGTAATAGTGAAAATTTGGTTTCATGTTTTGTATAACATTACCTCCCTTTTCAAAATTAATATTCATAACAGTTTGCTTGGATTGTTTTAAGTTATATTTAAAAATAGATAAATTTGGAGAATCTTTAACATTATCGGGAAGTGCATTCCATGCTACTGCAGATCTATGAGCAAAGGACCTACGACCCAATTCGGTTTTGGGCCTATTAAGTACAACATTCAGGGATTTCCTTAGGTTATAACTGTTAGAGTTCTTGGTCACCAAACAATTAATTTCCCGCAACCCTAAATTATAATAAGCATTATATGTAATAGTTAAGATACGTAGCTTATAAAAATACTCTAAAGGCATGTCGGCTATAACAGCAATTCAACCGTTACCACCTGTGCCAATGGCACCACAAAGCATACAGAAGATGAGGAACTGGGCGTAAACATTTGTTGCAGCAGTGCGTCAGCTCTCTGTCAGACAGGAAACAACGACTGGCAAGAACTGGAACTTCCCGTCATACCTTTATTAGAGAGAAATTCAGCCAGTCGAACCGGTCAGCCTCGAACGCTCTGACTTCGAATTGTGTTCAGTTAATTTTTCTTTATCTCCGTTGTTAAAGATTGGAACTATATGTACAAAGCTTCGGCGAGCAAAGAGGAAAAGTGCAGGTTTCGGGGTCAAGAGGCTCAATGACGAATGGCGCGACCATTATTCTTTCACGTTATTTTATCACGAGCTGGATAATTACTTTATTGAAAATGAGCGTTAAAATAATCTTTAGAGGATGAAATTACCAAGCGACAGAAACTCGCGGAAGAGCTCGACAGCACAGAGAGAAGCTACAAGAATCACAAAAAAAGATTCCAAAGATTCCAACGTGATGAATTTTCACTCGCTTTGCGACTTTTTCTACGGCTGTCACAACGACTGGACGAAAGTTTACGGTCGTTGGTTTTTGCTCTTGTCTTCTTTCTGAGTAAAAGCCCCGTTGAAAAGACCTCGTCGGAGTATTGTTTTGGAACTCTCCTTTCCCCTACTGCCGCCATATTTACAAATGTAAATTATGCGATAAATACTCTAAGGCGAAAGCTACGGTGGCCAATAGAGGACATGCCACATTGTTTTTTTTATCTCGCGATAAAATCAAAACATCGCGCGATAAATGATAAATTATCGCGCGATAAATGGAAATTATCGTGCGATAAATGAAAAATCATCGCGCGATAAATGATAAATTATTTTCATTTATCGCGCAATAATTTATCAGTTATCGCGCGATATTTTTATGTTCATTAGTCGCGTGATAAAAAAAATGTGGCATGTCCTCCATGGGCCACCGTACATGTCCTCTATGGGCCACGTCACCGTAGAACTAAGTTTGTTATGGTCGACTAGATTTAGTGTCACACCACCTACTACCGTACATTAAATTCAATCGTTTGAAATGTTTGTAAGCTCTCTTATATAGCCAAAATTTTTATGATAAAATCGGTGCAATGCTTTAATCTCATCTAATTGATTTTCATCAATGTTTTTGTCGATATGACTGAAATAAAAAATCGTTTTAGTTTTTTTCAAATATATATATATATATATATATATATTGTTTGATAAAAATGCTTCAGTAACCAGTTTTTCGATTAAAAAAATTACTGCAATTTATTCTATTCAGAAGACCCGTAGAAATTTCAAGAGTTATTGAATTGTTAATCTCAAGTCTTCCAACGAAAAAAATATTAAATTGACCCCATTTGCCATTTGTATTCTCCACAGTCGAGATATTATGTCAGCTTGTTTGACTTAGTGGCGTTCTTTTCGGCAGGACATTAGCAGCGACCCCCGATAACCATCTCTAAAATGAATTTCATAAATTACACGTTGTTTGACAATCAATTCATTACTACTACAGCAAAATGCGAGCTGCTTGAACTGACAGTGTCAAATGTTCCATCAACAAATTTAGCGACTTTTTTAGTGTTGTGACTAAGATTATGAGTAAAGTAGTACATACTATTAAATTTGTTGTTGATCTGAGTGATGGCAGCATCGTGTGTTTTCTTCGTGACTGAATTTTGATCATTGACGGAATCAATGGATTAGATTAGTTGATAATGAATACGTGTAAACCGGTCAGTGTAAACCGCAGACTGCAGACTGGGTGTAAAATGCAGACTAAGGGTACAATGCAGACTGAAGACCGCAGACCAGAGGTAAACAGCCCAATTGCTTCGGTTGGGGTTGCGATAAATCGGTATAACGTCGAGTTTGACCACTCAGCCTCTGTCCCTCACACTGTAATTTTGGTTGTTCAGTTAAAAATGAATCAGGGTAGGGGCAAAAGTACCATCAGCTCGAAAGTGAGGCGTCCTTCCCCCTCCCACCACGTCCGTTAGCAATTTCTTTTCTCCTCCCCTCTCCTCCCCCCATGTTCGACAATAGTTTCTCCTCCCATCTCCTCTCGCGTTTGTTTGTAATTTCTTTTCTCCCTTCCCCTCCCCCCACGTCCGTTATTCTTTTATTTCCCCCTCCCCCTCCCCCCACGAGCGGTCGCCTTCTTTCCCCCCTTGTATGATACACCTTCAAAATAACATGCAGCTTTCATGTGGACGTTGTTCTCTTTAAGTCTGATTTTATTCAGTTATAATTTCTAATCAAGCATACGAGGTTCTATTTTCCAATTCTATTGCAAAAGTGTCTTTAGGTTTAAAAGTATGATGCAACTGCTCTGCTTGCTGATAAGAGCTAGTGGGTTCTGTGTACAGATTTGATTTTTTCTGCTCTAATAAGCATCTTCCACGATGGTGACTTTTATGTACTTGATACCAACTCGTTCGGCTTTGTCAGCTTTGTACACCTCGAGTGTGAGTCCGTTGCTGAACAACAGTCGGTTGTTATAGCCAGCGGTTCTCACGAAGCCTGCGTCATGCGCTGTGTAGCACGACCCCCAGCGTTGATCCAACTTGAGAGTGATGACGTACTGACCGGGGTAGAAAGAATCGCTGGGTTTTGGTAAGAGTGGCTCATAGCTCGGAGCAGTGAAAGTTGCACCCGAAACACCTTCTACTCCGTAGCACGGAGCCCTCGGATCGTTAAAATTTAACTTGTCCACAGTAAAAAATCCAACGAATCTGGTACCGTCTGATATGCCATATTTGATATCGCTGTCCGATCCTTGGCCTATGCTGACGTCATGGACGACTGTGATTTCAACGGTCAGCGGCGTGAAATCTCGCAGGCAACCAGCATGTACAAGGGGAACCTTCAAAAGAGCAGCGTCTTGAATCGAGCCTGCGTTGAATGTGAGCTGTGAAGCGGTTTGCGAACGTGAGCTGTCAATGTAGGACGCATACATCACCAGCCAGGATGGAGTCATGGTCTGATGATAAACAACTCTTCCCTATAAAAGCAGTGTTCAAGGTAATTGTTAACAGAAGCGGAAAGGCTGCTCATAATTACTGTCAGTGGAAACTCTCCACAAACGGTCATCCTTCTACAAAGGCTAATTTCTTTTGTCTAAATTTTCTCCATTATTCTAACCTCTCTTGAGCGGCCACTGAATCACATTCCAACAGCTAAAATAGGCAATTTACACGGGCCAGTTCATCAATGAAAGTTTAACGGTATAGCACAGAAAAAGATGTTACTTCTTTCAACCAGATGATACTCGAAAGCTTATCTCAAACGAACGTTCAACGAACTAATACAATTTGCTTTCTTTTGTTCGTTTTGTTTTCTTAGCAATTTACTCTCGAAAATCGTTTTTTTCTTTATGATCTATACAATTTAGAATTCAAAGGTCTTAAGTTCTTTTTTTCATGAGGACTAAGGTTTCTTTAATTTTTTTCCACGCCCGTGACAAGACGGAAAATCATCTACTGCTATTTCATTACCATTAATTTGCAACCAGCCGAAATCACCTGGGGTTTTAAACTGACCTGTGATTTGTAGGGGCCCGCCGAACATGATGACTGCTGACAGCAAGAATGAGCCTCCTAGAAACAAGGACGACAGAGAATTCGAAATGAAGCCAGTGAGGTTTAAAACAAGATGCTAGGAATTGAGGGTTAGTGGATGGCTTAGTTGTTTGTTTGTTTGTGGGTTTTTTTTTTCTTGCAGGGACTCCCTTTACGGACGCTCTACGTGCCAGACAGGTTTCACCCCAGTTTTCACTTGTAACCAGTTGAAGGGAAAAATAAATCTGAGTCCTATTTTACGCGAGCCTCCGACGCATCAATAAAGGAAAGTTTTAATTAACTTACCTGGAAAGCAACAGCAAAAAGAAAGACGACTTTGATTGAGAAAAACAAGATTGGTGACTTCATATCGGTACACAGGTAAGCTGGTTAACTCTTGTAGAAATATTGTTGTACTCCAAGATCTCTGATAATCTACAGAGGAAAATGTATCGCACTCGTTCTTTTTAAGCAAACCTCCAGTTGATTTTGAGCTCAAATAAAACTATGTCAGTTGGTTAAAGCAAATAGAATAAGCGATAGTTTATTTGCTTTGTCCGATAGCGTGTTAAGTGATTAGATTGTGTATGGATACATCTGCTTCACTAAAAGTGCCATTAATCCTAAATAGTCGATTTTGAGATCAAATAAAACTATGTCAGTTGGTTAAAGTAAATGGAATAAACGATATTTGGTAACTAGCTGATTCAACTGCCACAAGTGCTATTAACCCCTAATTTTATATTTTTATCATCATTATAGTGAAAAGGTTAATTTTAAACTGCAAACATTGGTCTTTTAATAACTGCAGTTGGTAAAATATTCTAAATTCGAAGTGGCAAAATTATTTTTTAAAAGTGCTGAAAAGTAACATACTGCGATCGATTTGTTCAACTATAGATCGACCTCTAAATTTCTGAGGTTTACGAAATGCTCCTTTTGATCTGATCGTTTTCTTATAGGAAACAAACAGCTGAAAAAGCTTTAGTGTCTTTTTCTAATTTGTGCTGATGGTGTTGTCACTAAAAATGCGTAGAAATTTGTTGATTCAGTTTCAGATGTATCAATTTTAAAACTGATGATTTCTCTTTGAAAAATTGGACATTTTCAAGATTTAATTATGTTTTTACAGGCTGTGAGCGAATTCTCAATTCACACATTAATTAAGAGCTGTGTTTTAATGCACCGTTAGTGCACATTAAATGAAATATTAATTAGTTTTAGCAGTTGTAAAGACCTACACTTAAAAGTCACAATTTCGAATCCTCTACGTCTTTAACATTCTGTAGTAAGACTTCATTTTTTTATGCAGATGCTAACTTAAATCTCAATCTAGTTTGGGACCACTTTTCAGCTCTCATAAAGATGACAATGAAACGAGGTGGGGGGGGGGGGTACTTGGGCCAATGTTGGCTGGGTATGTACCATTGGTTTGTAGAACCCTTACCCCATTATAGCCTATTCTGTGTATTCAATTATATACTCCATCTCAGTCACTTTTGGTTATACGGTAACAACTTTTTAACCACGAATCTTCCCATTTTTAAAACCCTACTTACCAGAATTTTCTTACTCCCCAATTTTCCGAAAAACGTGCGACCCTCTTTTTACAAGTAACTCTACTGAAAATGCTACCCATCCAATGGCACATCCCCATTAGCAGGAAGTACCCCTCCCCCCGCCCCCTCGGGCAGTGAATAGGCTGTCACAATCTACATGTCATCCATCGTGTAACACTCATCTAACCTACACTGAACCTCGTTAGGGCGAATCTTGCATAGATAAAATACACCACTGACCCTCTTCCCTAATGTTCGCATAGTCCCAATTGATATCAAGTAGAAAAAAAAAACCGCAAGAAATATACTAATCTAAAAAACCAACCTTGACAAGAAATTTACAGATTGTTAGAGGACAAAAAAATACACAGAAATTTGAAGAAGTGGCGTACCCAAAGCACCCCCCTTTCCAAAATATTAACAAGCTACGTGACATGCCACAAGGAATATTCTGATTTTAATCAGATCGTGAGATGAAAGCTAATCGATGTTTACACATACTTTGCCTCATACACGTCGATAATTAAACAGGTGTTGAACAGGGAAACGTGACTTTCTGAAAACGCGTGGTTATTAGAGAACTTGAACATCAGTTTAATACCAAATTCTCGTTGAAAGAGAGTATGCTTTTACCGAAAAACAACTTAGTGTAAGTATCGTGCTAGTTCAACAAAATTTGTTCTCATAGTAAATGTTGTAGGGTTAAGTCTTATTGTTTTGCTGATTGATGCATTTTTACAGTGTTTTTATTGATTGCCATGTTTGGTTCACCTTGAGGATCTAATAACCTTGCCTGTGTGATGGTCATAAGTTCGATTCAAATGAGCACATATAGATATAGTGCAGCTGGTAAATAAAATGTCTAGATAACTTCTTCTCTCATAATACACCAAAATAGTGGTTTAGTTCGTTCTGTCTAATTCGGCAGAAGTACTCGTGAAAACGAGATTAGGTTTAGTTGTTATGGTAATCCTTTGAATCTCGTGAGTGACCAAGGCAGAATTTCTCCTTGCAATGCCAACACAATATCAAACAGACAAGTGATGAGAATAAAGAGAAATATCAATTGGAGGATTGTTAGTTGATCCAATACTCAATTTTCCGACCTAGCACCATAAGAATCGTGTCGCAGACCGTAAAGAGAATTACTTATGAGATCTTAGAGCGAATGGGTTAAAGGACATTTAACTCCTTAAATCATATAAGTTCGATCTGTCTTTTACCCAGTGTAGAGGCTAGGCTAAGATTTTAGCTCAAGTATTACTTCAAAAAAAAAAAAAAGGAAAATGACAAGCTAAAGAACGCGCAGGGGTGAGGAATTCCTTCGGTCAAACACATCCCCTCTGAGGATCGTTATCTTGGTCAGCTGTGCTGGAACCTCAAACTCGGCGCAGAACCCGTTACAGAGCGCAGTTTCCCCAGCTTGTCCCTTTAAAGTCTGCAACACGCAAACCTGACACTACGGGAAGTAAACGATAAACCGTATATTCCCGATTTGCGCATCAGTACATTAAAAAGATATCAGGAAAACAGTATGGTGAATATGCATACTGATATTAGGGTGTAAAGGATTAAATAACGAATATTATGACCTGAAGATGACATTTAAGAGGAGAAACGATCTTGCAGGTATCTCAGAGCAATTGCAGAAATTTAAGAATGAAGAGAAGCATAGTCACCCATTTTATCGTTTTCAGCATCATAAAATCGCATTTTAAAATTAAATTTTATTCGATCCACGCAGAAAATTAAAACAAACTTCTGCGCGACATCAATTTTTTAAGTTTGACAAAATAAATCCTACATTATTCATTATCATTGCCAAATTTTTTCTTTGAAGGTACAAGGTTCAATACTCGATCATCCATGTCGCAACTTTTTTAGTGTGTAGTACTCTAGATTTATTTTCCTTCGAAAAGCTACCTCGTGTGTTGGTGTCAAAATTTGGAATGAGACATTCTAACGAATTTAAAACTTTATCAAAAGACTCATTTAAAAAAGAAATGAAGAAATCTTTATTTAATGTTCTGGAAAATTAAGATTCCTCTTTAAAATATTATTTAAAACTAATAGACATTACATTACATTAAATCAATCAAACTGTATGTTTTCTACCGCTTTTATATAAAAACCTCCTTGTACACTACTTATTTATTTATCGACCAGTTCTTCTTCAATTTTCTTAACCTATAAAGCATTTAGTTTCTTTATCTTCCTCATCTATTTAATAATTAAGTAGATCTTAGGCAGTTTATTTACCCTCCTCGCCCAGCACATTTACTAACTTAATGTCATTTTTTCTTAAATTTTGCAATGATATGAATAAAATGGGAACCATTTGAGAAAAGTTCTTTTATTATGTTTCATAAATCGTGATGACATTTAATATTTCTGTTTTCGCGTATTGCGGTTTATATAACTATATAATATGCTAATCTGCAGCTGATTATTTTAAAAGACAGATCATAAATATAAATTTTACTGTACCCCTGTAAAATGTTGCAATACACGATTGACATGGAAAAATACTAACTCAGTTCTTCGAAACGTGCGTTGGCAAAATCTGTTGTGAAATCTCATTTGCTGTAACATAATTAACAATAATGCTTTCCTTATGTTACTGGAGTGTGCAATTAATTTAAAAGTGCGCGAACAGACAATTCTTCATAAATTAAAGGAGCTTTCAAATAATATTAAGCTTTTTTTGGACGTGTACAACCCTTCGAATAACAAAAGATAGAAGAAGGAAGTTATTGTTGTTACTGTAAGGTGACGTGGATGTATGAAGCTATATTTTGTAAAAGCTCTCGCTTTCTAAAACAATTCGCCAATAGGAGCATGATTTAGCCAGAGTTGGTGCATAAATGTGTACAGCTTGTCACTTAAAGAGACCTGAAAGAAAACGTAAGGAAATACTAAGATAAATAAATAAACATCTCTTCGCTAATGAAAGCATTAGACGTGAAAGCAGATAAAAAAAAGAAAACAAACAAAAAACAAAACAAGTTTTGTAATTAAAAACAAACCTAGACCAAAGATTATTAACCATCATAAGAAATAAACAATCCAGACAGGCTAGCCCAGTGCAGCTTTAAAGCGGTTTAAAAGGGCCTGGATTAAAAAAACAACGCCAGACCACAACACCGGAAGATACGTTCCCTACCTTTTGCGAGAAGTGTGCGGATTCTTTAACGTTCCCTACTAACCAGTACAAAGAAGATAAAGGAGATAGCCCCTAAGGTTTATCGTCCTTTTCTGAGAAGACTAGGATGTCTAACCATTTGCGGATGGCATAACAAAGGCCACACATTCTCTCCAGTTATTTCAATAATTTTTGAATCCTCGACCTCCCGCAGGGCGGTCCGACACTGCACAACATGAGCTAACCAAGCATTCCCGCATTTCAGGCACTCTTGCTTGTTTTAGAAAGATTTGACGTACCTTGTAAGGCGTAGGATTCAAGGCTCTCAGATGGTCTTGTCGAAACTTTGTTAACGAATCCTTCACTCTTTCTTTAATCTCCGATAGAGGTGGTAATGGGCTGCAAATCTGGGAAGAAAAGATGAGTTGTGGGAAAGTGCTTGTATATCAAAATGGGCCTAGCTTAGACGTAGAAACTGACCACACAAAGGACAAAAAGTTGAAATTTCTTAGGTGCAGGCCTAAATATTGAGTATGGTCTGAAGTTTGAATAAAAATTTTCAAGTAGGTGTGCACTTCAGATAAACTTGGTTTAAAAATTTTAGTATAAGTTTAGCAAATATCAAAGCCAAGGTAGTTTTACTTCAAGTCCTTCAACTAAGTAAGTAATCCACTGGGTTCCCAGGCTGCGAGTTGATCTTTGGGAAGTTCACTTGGAGTACATGTGGTTAATCTGTCAACCCTAGCCTAAGAACCTTTACATCCGAAGTCTGACGCAACAATAATTACACCCAAACTGGAGGTTACCACTAATGTGAGAAACGTATACAGAGAGAGTAATGACAGAACTCTACTCCACCTTGCCATCTTTCCAGTAGACACGATATAAAGGTTCTACATGGGAAGGACACACATATGCACGCTTGGCCTCATCAAACGGATGCCGGCACAGTACGCGTTTCCCCGGAGACGGAGGCACCTCGTCGCACCTGAGCATGAGATCAAGAAGGGCCCGCCCTGAAAACCACAACAAATTTGTGATGACTTAGCATTCTGAATCAAGACAAGAGTAAAAATTCGAAACGAAACTATCATTAGGTCAGGCTAATCTTCAATAATCCCTGTTCAATCCCGCTTTCTGAAATATGAAGCAAAAAAAAGAGTATCCCTCCTATCCTCCTCCTACCTGGATGGGATGGTTGTCCAACTGCTGAGTAACCCACTCAGCCTCCCCCCCCCCCCCTTATTCAAAGTTTCCCTTACAGTTCACCATTACAGATTTACAACCCTAGGTGGAGAGGGACACTCTACGACCAAAGTGTTCTGTCCAAGAACACAACTGAACCCGGCTAGGACTCGAACCTAGATTCTTCGGAAAGGTTAGGCTCTAATAAATCTGAAAAAACTCTAACTTCGTCCGATCAGCATTGGGGAAAAATCAACGTCATCGAACGCAATAAATTTGAGAGTTTTAACTGTAATCAAAGTGTAATCCACTACCGTCTCCGCCGTACAAACGGAAGGCCTCCTTCTTTCCAGGTATCGTAACTTTCTCTATGTCTTGGCTGAGTTTCATTCGAGCATCGCCATTTAGTTCAACAAGCTGTCAAAAATAGTGAAACATTTCGAACGTTACCCCGGAGCCTTACGATTAAATAAAACGCTGAACTTTTTTAAGTGTCAGATGTCGACTGCTTAAGAAATTTGCTGGACGAGTAAATAACATTGAAAAGACAGGTGACACTAGAACACGCTACTAACACGTCCCTTAAAAATACGACAAATACAATTTGACATTGACTTCGTGTTTATCGATATCAGTCTACTTTGGCATGGAAATTATTTGAGTCTGTCTGTGAATAAATTGCCCTTCCACTGTCTCGTGTTTGTGAAAAAAAAATTGACTTGCTTTCTGTACATTGCACTGGCCTGTCTTGCCGACAAAGTCCTGGACCTCTAGAAACCAACTGCGCATTTTGAAAAATCTGGGAAGAGACATTGAAAAGAAGGGGTAACTATAATCCATGAAGAGGCATCGCACCGATGCTCATTCGTGGGCGGCGCTTTAAAGTAATTTTTCTCTCAAATGCGACGTTTGTTCGAGGGTTGAGCTTCGTCGACTCAGTACGGCTTCTTAGGGATTTAGTCAATTAGTCTCTCCCTCCTCTGTTATTTAGAGATCTATTTTCGTACCTTAAAGACACATCCCAATGCAGGCTGCTTTTGACAAGTTACCAAATGAGTTCCTATACCAAAAGAATCTATGGCATGACCCTGAGAACAAAAAATAATAACAAACAAATTAAATGAGCGAATGACATTTTCAACCGATCAAATTCGAGGATTTAGGTTTCCAGCCAATTGAGAAATAGACTACGAGTAGTCCATCGTTTTAGGTGAAGTCGCGCGAGTGAAAAAAAAAATCACTACGAATGAGGCGCGACGTGCTAACGTCAATTTTTTTTCACTGATGTTATTTTTTTCACCCACGCGACGGACTTCGCCGAAAAGGAGCGATTGCTCGTGGTCTTATTGAGAAATCACTAATAATTACAAATATGACATAAGAATCTTCAGGTACCTGTTGATTTAGAGAGAAAAGTGTATCTTCATTAATATCATTGCTAGCCACAATACTTCGTGTAGCAAACCACGGTAAACCAAATCTATAAAAGAGATAAGTACTTGTTTACTAATGTGCCCTAAAGCATGGTTGAAATGCAGCGAAGTACAATTGTGAGAGACTGGAAACTAGTTCGGTAAATCTCCCATCAGCCCGTTCGGCCATGTAGTAAAAGCACGCAGCCACAACGTTATCTTTTTTTTTTGTTTGTATCTGCTTACGAGGCGCCCAGCGACGCGATATACTCTACAAAGTTGGGGTGAAAGATTAAGGTTTCAATCAAAAATAAGCAGCATCTAGAAACATAACTGATAGTACTTACACATCTGCCACTTTTTCTAGAGCTTTTCTGATCTGTAGTGAGGTGTATGACAAATCTCCAGAGTCAAGTCGCACCCCTAAGGCTCGGTAGCCAAAATCGTTGAGAGCTAATGCCACTGCAGAGAATCCTGGGATACCACTCCTAGTAAAAATAAAAATGTCAGTAACTACTGCAACATAGCTTAGGTGAAAGCATTCATCGCAGGAAGCCAAAGTTGGCCATTAGAATTATTATTCAAATTCTTCACACCCTTTTTCCATTTCTGGTCTGTAATTCTCACAGCCATAAGGCAAAATCAACAAGGTCATGAGACACTACTGGGCACACAGATTACTATATCTTAAAATCAATGTCGCTATCTAAGCAACTGCCCATCTACCCCTCCCCTAGCCAGACAACAGTTCATTGATAACAAGTTACCATTAATGTTGGGTTAAGGAAGAAGTTGGTGCCCTGTTGCTCAGATACTGACATTGCTCTACATCTTTCCTTTTTCCATACCTTAGCACATCATAGGTATCAACAAGTGCTAGAAATGTCTCTGGGAAGGCCACTGCATATGCTGAAAATGCTGCCAGTTCACCGACATGGACCTCGCTTTCCAGAACACGCAGCACAGGGCAAACTTTCTTCAGCCAATCTAACACTACAGGATAAAAGTCTCTTGGCTCCTTACTCTTATCTGTAGGCTGCAGTTTGCCAACTGATGGAAGTTCGTCTGGTGTGAATGATGTAATGAAAGCATGTGCTTGTGTACCTTTGACTGGAATGCCACATAACTTTCCAGCTAAAACATTACTTGTACCATCAAATCCTAACAATTAAATTAAAGTAATTTAAAAAATTTTTTATTAATTCCAAAATTTACTCGACATGCATATCCCACCACCAAGGATGGGGAAAGCATAACTAGACAACAATGTAACCCACAAAAACTACTGGTAACATCAATCACAGAAATGGGAGGTTTTTTCCCTGTAATTTCAAAAGTGACTCTATGACAGGAATCTACTCACCTCCAATGTAACAATATTTTGATGCTGACAACCCTCCATCTGGGCCCTGAGATCTGCGTAACCCAAACTCAATCAAAGATTTATTCCAACCAGCTGCGAGGCGAAATCTAGCTGCATTTGTAGCTACTAGGCTAAAGGAAAAACAGCAGATAAGAGTTATATCTTTTATCTGTAGTAGTTATTAATTGAGATGAAAATTGACACATATTCATTACATTAAATGTTTATTCTCATTACAACAGAAAATGTTGCAAGATTTTCATCTTAAGTTATTCCATAAGGCATATTTTACCAACAACTAGATAAATATCCTTAAATTGAATAATTATATCCAATAGTCACATAACTATTAGGTATGCAGCACAACTGGGCTCTCTATAGAATTTTCCTCTTAATTGGACTTTGCATGGCTGGTAAAAGAGAGGTGGCCCCAAGGAAACTTAACCAGTAATGGCAATGACAGAGTTGACAAAATCTATCAAACTGAGTGAATGTTCATGGATTTGACAATTTTGGCAAATTATAGTCAACTTCATCACAGCGAAATCAGCTTGGCAGAATTGAAAATTTGAAGAAATTTTAGTCAAATTTGTCACAGGGAAATCGGCTTAGTGGATGTGATGAATCTAACAAATTTTTGCCATTTTGTTACTGTGTGCATTTGTGGACATATCTACAGAAACTTGGAGGTAAACTATAAAAAAGGGACTGAGAGACAGAAGTAACACATGAGGGAAACTTGACTGACCGGTGACTGACTGGCAACAGACAAAAAACTGATGGCATTCTCTGGCCGAGACTTTATGTGTGTAAGAACACAAAGGGGACTGACCAACTAAAAGGGACTTTGAAAGATTTCAGAGAAAATATTGACTTCAATAGATGTCCATTGGATAATATGCACTCAACAACACTTAAACAATTATACCTTGCAAAGTTCACTAAGTTGAGGAGAGTTGTCTCCATGAGTTGGATCACTGAGCAAAAACAAACAGAAGTGAATAAAAAAACTAGAAAATATCTAGGGAAACATTACACACTGAAATTAATGGCAGAGTGTCATTACTAATTCTGGATGGGATGAAAGAATTAAGTGTTAAAAAAAATATATCCTCAAGTCCATATTTCCATTTCTTTTCATCACCTTCGCACTAGACAATGTTTAGATATTGCATGAGGAGAAGTTACTTGTTGATCACTTCTAAGAGTGAAAGGGTTATTTTTAAATTTTTTTTCAGTCTTTTTGAAGTCTTTAATAAACCATAAGATAAAAGATACATATCCTATGTTACATAAACAAGAGACTAATAATTACAATAATAAACTATGGCAAAAATTAGATTATGTAATTATAACAGGTTGTGTTCAAAAATTAGTCTATTCACAAATGTGTTCATGAAACGTTCTGTGTTAATCTTTGGGTGGAGGCAAGATAACATCACAGAGGGTTAAGATAACACTGTCACATTTCTTTTGCCATAGGCCTTTGGTATTTCACATTGCATACCTGGTAGTGGTCCTTCCACTCTGATCAAAGGAATTTTTGGGAAGACAATGCTTCCCTCCAACATGGCACTTAGAGTAACCTTACTTGTGTCTATATCTCTAAGAAACTTGTAAAAATCTTCTTCCACTGTTGCTGGTAATATTGTTTTGAGATAAGATATATCTGAAATTTAAATGAAAAGATATTTGTGAATCAGTTTTGTTATGAACAGCACTTTATGAGGTGGAAGCCATAAAGGCCTGTGTTGATTGAACAGACTTCTTTAGCCCTAAAACTTCCAAGATCTATTTGTTAGTTCTCCCTTCTAACTGCTACAAATTTCCTTGTAAATAGGTTTGAAGAATTTGGTGTTAGATCGAGATGACAACTTCTACCTGATAAGTTTGGGTATTCTCATTACCTGTTTGCTGGATAATATATGAATGTTAAAGAAGAAGTTACATATGTTACATGTTAGTCACTTCTGGGAGTGTCAATTGTCTTTTATGGATTAAAGTTCTTCCCTGGGGCTATGGGAGCAAATTTAAGAACTAACCTCTACCCTAAATCATGTGACAAACAAAAAGCACTGTTTTCGCGTGACCATGTGACTATCATCGACTTTGTACTGTACAAACAAACACGATTCGATTCAAAAGCGCCTAGCATGGTCAAGTCGGTAAAACTGTTCTCTATTCATAATTAACTGCTGGGTAGCTAGTTCGTCTAAACTGTGGTAGATCGATAATTATCAATAATTAATGTTGTGGTCTTTCCCTTGTTTATAAATATTCCACGGGTATCCGGTTCCACAGTTAATTTAGAATTGAACTGGATTTTAGTTGAACGATTATGATCAGAAAAAGTAAACTTCTTAGTTGTCTTAAAGCAGCTAGTAAATCTCGATGACGAATAACAACTGTTTAAATATTTACCTGAATCTGAAAACTTGAAGTTTCTTACAAAATGAACGCACTCTTCCAGCCCAGCGAAAACCGTGAATTCTCCGTGGAAAGGATTCCTGCGAAAGTACAAATCGAATACTGCATTGTCCAATACTTTTCCGCTCTTCCAATAAGCATAAGCCATTGTGATTTGATAAAGATCCGTTAACAAGGGTTGAACCAAAGGGTTCGAATTCGTTCTATCTTCCACAGCCGCCATCTTGAGGCTTCTTGGAAAATGACAATGCTCAGCCGCCCCTCCCTCACCAATGCTGTTTGTTACATACGGGACTTAGTCGCATCCGGTTTGCGGTTCTGAATGAAAGTGCTAGAAGTGAAGTGTTTATGTGGTTGTCGGTTGGAATCTTACTGCAATTTGACGAGGATTTTCGCTTCATTTGAATTACTTTGATCCATCAGAATTAATCTGTAAGTATTATAGTACCTTTCCGTGTTTCAACAAGGGTTATTCTAGTATTTTTTTACACTAAATTCGCTCGGTTTTGATTTGGATTATTTTTTCGAATCGAATTTGATAACATACGAGCCCCTGCTAATATTTATTTTGCCAGACCTTTTCACCAAAATACCTGTGTATAAAGCTATCCTTTGTTTCTGTGGGGAAAGAACTATTGATTTTAATGGAAACTGTGTAATCTTTTGCCTCTAATCATCTTTCTTTTTGAAAGCTCAGGGATATTTATGTTAAATGATTCACTTTCACACCAGGCTTAACTCTGTAATTTCTTAAGTTTCAAACATCTTGCTGTACGGCTTTATGAGAAACGTCCTAAGATAATTAAATTGATTTTAATTTTTAAGCGACAGTTCAAAGCGAAAGGACATTTTATGTAGCTATGATTTTCTTAGAAAACAATCTGGATATAACGAAAAAATTAATTCATCGAATTTCGTCACTGATTTGCGAATGATGTCATTAAGACATCCGATGAGCGTTGTCACTGATTTTAATTAGCGGTTGTGGTTGCATGGACAGATAAACACGAGAATGTGAACAATAAGCAGCCATCTTTACTGGCTGAACTTGGTCAGTAGGAGGGTAGTTATTTCAATGAACCATAACAACAAATTTTCTTTTTTTTTTTTCAATGCAAAATGATTTCACAAGATTTAATCTTATTAATTTAATCATCACAAGTAAATACGTCTAAAGAAGAGGAAAAAAGAGGAGTTTTTGACAGGGTAAAGTTACAGGACAAAGTCCCAGTTGACAACTGCTCCTTAACCCCTCAACTCCTATTAGTGACCAAAATAGAATTTCTCCTCACAACATCAATACAATATCAAGCAGGCAAGTGATAAGAATAAAGGAAAATATCAACGAGGGGATTATTAGCTGATACAATACCAAATTCTTCTAAGTAACATCATAATAACTGTGTGGTAAAAAGTAAGGAGAATTGCTAATGAGATCTTGGAAGTAAAAGTGTAGATCATGATTTCTCTCCTTTTAAGGATGGCAGAATGTGAAGTGGTGGTAGATGATTTTGTGAGGACAGGAAGGACTGGCCGGCGGAACGCTCTCCCTGATGTATTTGCTGTTGGACATGCAAATGTGACAACAGCAGGACTTCCTGAAGTCCTGGAAAATTTTTCCATCAGTTCTTCAACTCAGCCAGCATGCAATGGCACTTCAAGCTCAGAGAACCAGCCTCAGATGCAGAAATGAAAGTGGATATTGCTGCGGCAAACTTTTTATGAATTATTTGATACCTTGTTGACTTACTATTCTCAAATGGCATCATAACTTGACTTGGTTCACGAATAACTTTTTTGTCGGTTGATGGGGGTGGCAGTCTTTTTTCATCCTTAAGGATTTGATTTTTATTGTTGAAAGGAAATTGCTCTGAGATGGTGTTACATGCAAGTTCTCCTAAGGAAAGGGGGACAAACTACTGTATGAAAATTCATATTGTGGCATCAATGCCAATTCTGATGAGAAGACATGACAGATTCTGCTGAAAACTGATTATCTGCCTTAATTAGTCTTTAAAGGAATAATCATGAAGAAATGTGTACTACTTTGTGATTTCTCTTTGTCATCTGATGAATTGCATTTTGTTATTTATATTCCTTACTAAATTATGTATTTCAGTTCAAATTCAGTCACATTTCTTTCTGCAATGTTCAGTTGCATTGAACAATATTGCCATTTCATGTGGCAGAGAATGTAGCTTAGAGATAAAACCATTAATACTAGGACACATTTTGATCCTTTTTTGAAAATAAGAATCAATAAATTTGTTCATGACATCAGTTCACATTCAACCAGGAAGCACAATTATTCAAAAGGCTATGTCCTAAATACTTAAATCCACTTAGGAGTAGTCAATTGCACAGGGATTTATTAGAGATCTGACTTTGCTATGTGAAAAATTTTAATGTGCTCATTTGAGTTAAGGAAAGAGGACAGTTCAGTTATAATGATCTTTTTAATTAGCTGAGATCTCAGTTATTAAGCTGGAAGATCTTTCTGATAAAGACTCCATCTAAGTTACTGTGGTGAAACTTGAAATTTTGTATTTTGTTAGTCCAGGTAACTTGGGTGTCATGTTTAGTGTGAATTGTAACAAGGCTGAAATCTCTCCTTGATGAATGGGCTCACAACAGACTGTTAAGTATATTAATTTATGTCATACAACAAAGTACCATTCTAAGCTTGGTATTAAAAAAAATTTTGTTATCTAAGAAACAGTGATTAACTTTCTTAGGCAAGTACATACCTCAGTAATTTATTCTCAGCTTTCATATATCAAGTATGTGTCTTAAATTTTTATGAACATTTGATTTAAATTAAGTATTGTTCATTGATGATATTGTAAATATTAGAGATTGAATATTGAAATGAATTAAAAGTAGTTTCTCAACTTGAAACGAAATGCTGTTTCTCCAATTGCAAAAAGAGGTGAATAGAGAAAAACAATTCAGGTAAGTTCCCCCCCTTTTTTTTTTTGAGCAGTCAAAAGAGATTTTGTGCCTCTTTCTAAAAATCACTCTTTCCCTTTTCCCACCAGACCATAATTTGAATTCCAATCAGTGGCGATCCAAAAGATTCTTATTGACACTATTAACTTTAATTTTTTGTGAAACAATAAAGATTCTATCTTCAAATAGCTTTGGTCACAAACTGAGGCAAAAATTTCTCTTAAACTTTGTAACAATAGTGGAACATTAGCAGAATGGTGAGACTGGGTAAATGAAAGTACTGCTGTGTGACCATGTGCGCAATGTCTTCTGTAGCGGGAGTTATTTTGTGCAATTCGACGTGCTCTTGCTAATGAGGTGTCCGCGAGGAAAGGGTGAGAGTTGTACCCAGTCTCACCATTCTGGTAACGAGGCAGCCTCGTTCGCTAGGTCCTTCCTGAGGGAGGAAGAGTGAGGGTCCTAGGAACGAGGTTGGCATGGACTTGGAAGCCAACCCTTATGACCAATAAGAGTTCTGAGCAATCAGAGTGAAAACCAATCACGCTTCAGTGCGACAATAAGGGTACGGACGTGGTTATGGAAAAAAATAAAACCCTAAAATTTACAAGTTCGTTATATCCAACCGGTAAACATTTCTGTGCGGTCTTACTTGCTTACTGCTTATTTTTTAAATATTCTACAGTTCTAAAATTTTGTATTCACCCTCAGAACGTAGTTCCACACGCTGCAAAAGTGACCTGCACCACGAAACTTGCGATGCCAATAAAGCGAAACTTGAAGGAATTAAGCGAAATCAGGCGAAAAACTTGAGAAATTGGTCCGAGCTGTTCAAACTCAGACGCTGACGTCGGAAATCAGGCGGATGTAAATCAGTGTCTGGCCTATTTGATATAGATGTTTAGTTTTGAAGACTACGCGCGCGATCTTCAGTTTGCTTATAAAGGTGGCGGAAACATAATATGCAGTAAGAATAATTCGCTCTGTCTTTTATCCCGAATTAAACTTCTTATGTTTGCACAGCACAAGAGAACTTTTGTGGTCTCAACTATCCTTGATGGAATGTTGTTTGCTTTGTTGTTTCGATACAAAGGAATGCGAAAGACGATAACAGGGTTGCAGAATTAACAAATAGATTCCAAGTTGCCGTGCGCCTGTTCAGTAATAAATCACAGAGGACGTCAAAATGTGGTAAGAACAAAAAAGTGGCACACGAGGCGCAGCCGAGTGTTTCACTACTGTTCTTACCACATTTTGACGTCCTCTGTGATTTATTACTGAACAGATGCACGGCAACTTGGAATCTATTTGTTTTATATGATAAAGAATTTTAGAAAGTTTTAATGATGACGTCATCGATACGTCTGTCCTCCAATAGATCCTAAGTGAGAACCAATCAAAATGCGTGCATAACTGAGCTTATCATATAATAAACAATAGTGCATTTTGGGGTCGCAAATTAGACGGCAGCGGAAACTTTTACAACAATGGGTTGCTCGCGAAACTTTCCTCGAGGTAAAATCGAGCAAAGTATTTCGATTTGCTCGGACAAAATTGTGCTTTCTGAATGGCGTTCATCAAGTTAATTTTGAAAAATAGCAGAGTTTTCACTCAATAGGTTTTAATTGTCTTTTGCAGTTGGCCTAAGTGACGCATACTATGTGGATTTCTGGTTGGCTGTACTCGCCGAGTACTTGGCAACTTTCTTTTTCATGTTTGCAGTTTCGGGTTCCTCACTGAGATGGGAAGGCGCGCCTACAATTTTTCAACAAGCTCTTGCCGCCGGGTTTGTCACAGCTTCAATGATTCAGGCTTTCAGATCTGTGAGTTTGCCACTTGTTCATGCAAATCCAGTTGTGTCACTTGCTGCTTTCATAACCGGAGATGCTGGTTTCATACAAATGATTTGCTCAGTTGTGGCGCAGATTTTCGGAGGTAATTCAACATTTATCGCGTTCTTTTATCCTCAGCGAAAATCAGTTTGTTTATAAGCCCAGGCAGCTCACCAACAAATTCACCTTGTTTGGGTCGTTCATAATGGGGTATCAAGATTTTGAGAGAATCGCTTGACCCCTAAAATGCAGTACTTTTGATTTTCAAGGTGTAACTTAAATATGCACTCTTTAAACTGGAATTAACTGCTTATACAAACTTACCGTAAATTTTAAATTAAGCACGAAAACATTCAGATAACTAGGTCAAATGAACTTGCCTCTTCTAACGACCATGGCATGTTAAGTATATACCATGTATCCGGCTGATTGACATTTTGTACAAAAATTCGATCTTTACTAAGAGCGAAATTTACCAAACATCGCTGCAACTCTCTGACTTGTCGGTCGCATAATTTCAATTTACTATCTTTACTTAGTTCGTATAGTGTGATCGTCCGGGTGAGTGTAGTTCTGAAAAGAACTGTTGTTGGTGACTGACGTTTCGACAACCTGTGCGGAAGTCATCTTCAGAGTCAAGTGGAGTCAAGTGACTCTGAAGATGACTCGCTGCAACTCTCTGAACAACAGTTCTCGGTCGCGATCAACTTCAATCTACTCCTGGGTTCAAACCATTTACTTTACTATCTTTACATAGGTACCACTTCGCGTGGATGACACGAAACTTGTTTTCGTTTATTAAGTATTCTTAAATTGGCCGAATGATAAGTAACCAATCTGACTGAAAACGAAAAACAACTGAAATCTCGCTGAAACAATTTATTTCTAAACCAGAAAAGAATGATAATATGATAATTATTTTCAAGGTTTTGGAGTGTTTCTGCGTGTTTTTATCGCAATCAATAAATTTGATACTGGCTTTATTCTTTAAGGCTGCAATGGTGGCATTTTGTATCTTAGTATTCATTCATATATTTATTTATTTACTATTTATGATCGATAGCCATAACCGGCACTGGTGTTGTGATGGCAATAAGCCCTCAACACGCCCGAGGCAAACTTGGGGCGACTATACCGGCAAAAGAAGTGAGTGGTTTCCAGGCCTTCGGCGTTGAGTTGGTTCTGACGTCACTACTGGTACTGACTATGCTGGCTTCTATTGATGCCAATAAACAAGCAGCTCGCAGGGATTATGGGACTGCTGCCGCCATGGGCGTGGTCGTCACGGGCTGTTATCTCATTGCGGTAGGGTTCTATCGTGAACGGATTGCATTGCCCTTTATTCAACATCGCTTTGTGATTGACCGAAAGACTCGCTTCACGCTCGATACAAATAAGATTGAAAATTAAAACTCTTTTCGATTTGCTTACTTGCGTTTTCTCACTCTTAAGGCTTTTTTTAATTTTTTTTTCTCCGATTGTGATATGATATTGGCTACATATGAAATCAAACATACATCTCTTGAATAGCAAGCAAAAATTTCTACACAATTTACGATATTTTTCCCTTGTCCTTAGCTACCGCTGACCGGTTGTGGACTAAATCCCGCAAGATCCTTGGCTCCTGCTGTTTTCACAAACTCTTGGGAACACCATTGGGTAAGTGCGCTTTCATTTACTTTGAAAAGGACCTTCCTCCGTCCATTCGGAGGAGAAGAGGTCAGATGGTCATATCTAGGTTAGAATCTAAACTGGGCCTTTGTACAGCGTTTTTAGGGGGAAAAGTTGTTGAATAAATTCCATGTTGCCGTGCGTCTGTTAATGAGTGACTGCTAGATGACGTCTGAAATGAAATAAGAACAAACAGGCAGCCTACGATGCGCAGCCGAGTGTGTCACTGATGTTCTCATCAAATATGAAATTTCTGTAATATATTACTCAACAGACGCACGGAAAAATGAAGTCTATTTGTTTTATATGATAAGAAGGCAGGATTTTGTCAACGGTAACGCCATCTGTGCGTCTGTCTTCTAAAAGATCATAAGTAAGAACAAATCAAAATGCCTGTGTAGCACAGGCGACTATATACAAGACTTTACTCACCCAGCTTGTTTTTATTCGTTTCTAGGTTTACTGGGTAGGACCAATCTTAGGCTCTCTGTTGGCAACGTTTCTCCATTGCCTCTTGTTTAGGAGACGCGAATATAAGCGACAATCGCCAACTCCTCAGGATGAAAACGAGTACGACGATGTTTTATCATCTTAAACTGTAAAAATCTTTTGATCATCCAACTCCTACGTAGCACACCTATTTCGGAGTCCTATAAATAACCGCAAACTTATTTTTGTTCTTGATGAGACTATATTGGCAGTATATATCTTGCGTCTTATAACATAAAGTTGATAACCTACATATCCTGGTTCGTTAAATGTTACGCTTTTAATTTTCAGAATATCAAACCGGAGCGGCTAGCCATTTTTTCAAAATTATTCGCGCATAACAATAGTTCTTTTATGATATTGAAATACCTACTGATCGAATTTATTTGCTCTTAATCTCTTTCTTTCGAAGATCAAGCTAAGAGACTGCTTACCAAATATGGGCCTAAATTAACTCATTCCAAACAGAATCCGTTTAAAGTTCTTTTTTTCGACAAGGGATATATAATTTTGTTCTTCGGGAATGATTAATGTGACCTGTTTTTCGCGTGTTGCTTAAATGCTTCGGTAGAGAATGAATAAGGACCGGATGTGGTGTTCACGTGTATAAACCTGGTTCTAGGATTGGTTAATTCTGAGAGCGGGTGTGAGAAAGTAGACATACATAGGTACCAGAAGAAGTGAAGAAGGTACCAGCCTGTCAGCTTCGTTCTCTCCATGATGTATCATGCGTTTGCATTTTTTAATAAATTTTATCTACTAAAGTGAAAACTATGTCTCTTTCGTGAGTAATCGAGAGATTCATTTGCCTTCCTATTACTTCTGTAGCTCTTTGGAGCCTCACGGGGCATCAGATGTGAAATTTCCGTTTCGCGCACCCAAGCTTCCCCATCTGGGAAACTCTGAAGCGGTCTGGAATCAAGAAAACTGTGTTCTGAATGCTTTGAGCTTCCAAATCAGTGTGGGGGGAGGGGAGGGTAAAACTTTAGTCCCCCGCCTTATTTTTAGTCATTCAGTTATGTGAGATAAGCAATTAATTTAACCACATTAACCGAATTATTTACGAGATGAAGTTTCAAAACTTCAAGGAGAATCTTTCCGGCTAAAACTAAACAGCTAAACGGATCTTTACAAACAAAAATTAAAATTTTGAAGTAACGTTACCCTGAGAAAGAGGTATATGACCCTGGCAATATGTCGGCGATCTGAATTGCAAAAAAACCTTGCCCAAAATCTTTTCCGCTCTTTGCTATGTTATTTTCGAAGATTCTAATGAACCAACTGGTGATTTGTTCTAAGCGCATGAAATTAAACTCGTCAACAGTTTGTCTTCACAAGCTCAACGGACGTCTTTATCAAAACCCAACCAAATTAACTCGCACTTGTTTCAAGACTGGCTTTGGCAATAAACTCAACGAGTTGGCAATAAACTCAACGATGCCAAATGAAAAAAAACGCCGATGGATGCGTGAAGATCTCAGTTGCTGTGCACTTCACTAGGTTGTGATTACGAATGTAAACAGCAGGTGCCAGAGCAGGTTTTAAATCGACGAGTTCATCTCTGCTCCTAATTGTTTTTCAAGGCGATCAAAAATGAAGAAAGCTAAAGACGGGGCCACAAGAAGACTCAGGATCGCTAGTGTTCTCTGCTTGTTTTTCATGACTGTGGAATTTGTAGGTGAGAGTTCTCATTATTAAAAGTGTATTTTCTTTGGTAAAACACCGCCAGAATCACAGAATATTTTAACTTCAATTTATAAATCATGTTTACATCTGGTCTATTATAAAGGAACACAACATAACATGATTTTTTTTCCCAGCCCGATCCCTGCAGCAAATAATGATTGCTATATATCATAATGAAACGATGCTTTTTAGCTGTGAGAAGCAAATTTCGTATACAAGGGCTACACCAAATCTTGTACACATGATCTCACGCGCTCTGAAAATTTAAATTGCACCAGGGCTTTTAATGAATGAATGAATGTGACACTTGATCAAGTGATAAATAGAACCTGATCAGAACACATGTACACAGAAAAATATGGTGCTCCAAGGGGAAACAAACTCTGAATTTGATGTGCATGCTAGAGCATTTACACTAAAATCTCATTGTTCATGTCGGCCTTGGCAAAAGCTATCGATGATCAATGATTCTTGCTCGAGTACCTCTTTCTTTTCTGGATATCAATGTTGCAGATCCAAAATTCACTACTTTGATTTGTTTCCCACGAGATCAAAGACATGTAAGCATTAACTTATTAAATAAGCAAGAAATACTACGAATATTGAGACACAGAAAGTTTACGGGTAAAAAGAAATTGAATACCAAATTCCTGGCCAGCAACTCTTAAATTGATAAAACTCATATTGAGATAGCTTGCAGTCACAGTAAGGATAGAAATGGTACAACCCCCACCATAGCTAGATCTAGAGTTGCTGGTGCCTTACACAGAAAAATACATACAAAGTACTGCCGACACACCAATCTACGAATTAGGAGGTAATTCAAAGACAAACATGCGCATCTGTATTCCAAGCCAAGCGCGCTTGAGTTGTCAAAGAAAAATTGTATGCCACTCAAATTAACAGAAAAACGTACGAAGGACTGGGTGACTGGGTGACGATTACTTTTTTCAAGACCCTTTCAATCTTCTTGACGAGTGCTCTTCAATGATAGAGCAAACTTCATCATTGACAAATTTTTTCCTAGAAAAATCTACTTCTTCAAAATCAGGCATAACGTGAGTCCTGGAAAAATTTTGTCGCACTTTTGCAGCTCCGCTGCCTTAAAAACTTGTAGAGAAAAATTTGATGAAAGCTTGATCGCACACAAGTGCGTCAGAGTATTTTCTGAGCAAAAGATGATAACTTACGGCCCAAATTTCCTGTTTAATTTCTTAGGGGGATATTTTGCCAACAGCCTCGCTATCATGACGGACGCAGCTCACTTGCTGTCGGATTTCGCGGGTTTCATGATCTCGTTGTTAGCTCTGTGGGTGGCAACCAAGCCCGCCACTACGACTCTGTCTTTTGGCTGGCATCGCGCAGGTAAGATATTTAAACATGTGTCTGCAAAGGCGTGAGAAAAATTCTGCATGCGAATGCAAACAAAAGCAACTTAAAGAGCTACTGGTGTGCTTTAATCTGTTCTAGCTCGTAGCCCAAAGTTTTCCTCGAGGTTAACAGATAATGTCCGTGGAAAAATTTCCGAGCATAGTTTCGCGCCAAATGGAGGCTATTGTTTTTATATTTGAAAGCTAACTTCTCACATCTGTTTTCAGAGGTGATGGGTGCAGTCATGTCCGTTCTGTTCATCTGGGTATTAACTGGAGTCTTAGTTTACCTAGCAGTTCAAAGAATCCTCACTAAACAATATGAAATAGATGCCCAAGTCATGTTACTAACTGCGTCAGCGGGCCTCATTATAAACATCCTGTAAGTTGCTAATTAATGTTTTCAAAATCTTGCAGTTTGAGAAAAAGTGAACATGAGTTAAAGATATCTCATCGTTAGGGGATCCAATTTCGTAGACCTCTTTTACCTTACATAGGTCGAATCCTCTAAAAATCCGCCATGATGTTTCATAAAAACATGCATACAGTCCTGTATGAGATGAACTCTTCAGTTAAATTCAGTTCCTTGTTTTGTTGTATTTAAAAAAAATATGTCTGCTGCATATTTGAATTAAAACGAAAGTTCAGCATTTCACTCAGCATGGCTTTCTCTCGCCTTTCGTTATCGTGACGTCACGATTCGTTACCATGGAGACTGGTTGTACATTGAGGCCCCTTCCAATCCCTAATGGTGCCTAAAAGAGCAAATTATTTGCCAACAAACCCCAATTGTAACATGATCCCAGCTTATATTTTGTCCAATTAATTGTGAACCAGATTAGGTGTCATACTTCATCAGAAAGGCCATGGACACAGCCACGGATCCCATCCTAAAAAAAAGAAAGGCAAAACGAAAAAGTCCCAAGTCTCACCATCAAGTTTCATCATTTTAGAAGAAGAGGAAAATGTAAATGTGCGAGCGGCGTTTATTCACGTACTAGGCGACTTCTTACAAAGTATAGGCGTATTTATAGCAGCTCTTCTTATTTGGTTTAAGGTAAGCACAAGATAGGTTTTATAATGGCTTGGGTAGAAGACTGGGTTGTCGCGCGTGTTTTCACATATTCTCGTAAAGCTACTCGTTTCAGCTCACTGTGGGCCGCTGTGGACAATGACTTTCTCTGGTCACTTCATCTTAAGAAACCATGGGCTTAAGGAACGACCCAAATTCGGGCGAGCGAAAGGACATAGGAACCTGCACTCACGAAGTCACTATAGCGCTCGCTAACTCAATCCGGTAAACGTTTCCACGAACCAATTGCATCATGGGGAATACGGGAAGGCCTGACTTTTTCCAGCATATCTGCTAATATTTAACTTTCCATCGAGAAAAATTGGAAGAGACTGGTAACGAGTCCGCCAAGACAGTACATAGTTTTTCACACTTTTCATCTGTGAAACACAGATTTTAGAAAATTGGCCATGTCGTTTGTACCATATTTCAATGAGAGTTGAGTTAATATTGTATGTTTATTATTTTGCAGCCTTCATGGGCCATCGCAGACCCTATATGCACATTTGTATTCTCTCTGATAGTTTTAGGAACCACATTAGCTATTTTGAAAGATGCTTTAATTGTGCTCATGGAGGGTGAGTACATTACCATCTGTTTACAAAAGGGAGAAAACCAAAGAAACAAAGATAAAAAAAAGTTTAATCGTGAATAATAATTGTGAGTCTAAATCTTAATTCTGAGAACCGAGACCCTCGGCGTCTATCCTTTTAGACAGCAAAATACAGATGGGTCTGTTTTCATTTTCTAGGAGTTCCAAAAGGGTTGAATTTCCACATTTTAAAAGCAAGCCTCTTAGACATCCCGGGAGTATTAGCTGTTCATGATCTTCACGTATGGTCCCTAACAGTGGGAACGACTGCCATAGCGGTTCATCTTGTCATAGGTGAGTTTTATGGAAATGTCCCATCCTTCTGGTCTAACAAATCTGGTTTAGCCAACTACTTCTTTCTCGAATCGGTCGAGATTATCCATCCGTCTGCCCTTTATTCTGTGCCTGTTGGCGTGTCTTCCTATGAGTGAGCTATTTGTCTAGTGTATTGGTCTATCCGTCTGGTCCCTGTCTTTCTGTCTGTCTATCCGTCGTCTCTCTGTCTGCCCGTTCGCCTCTATCTGTTTGACTGTCCGTTTGTCTGGCTATCATTCTGTCAAACCGACCGTCCGTCTGCGCATCTTTTTGTTCTTCTGTTTGTCTGTCGTTCTGACCAGCTGGTCGTCTATTTCTTTATCTACATGGTTTGCATGTTAGTCTGGTCTGTCTAGCTGTGTATCTGTTCAATGTTCTGTACAATTCTTGTCCATTTGTCTCTGATGTTTGTCGATTTGTCTTTGTCTGTCTGAGTACATTTTTTTTCTATCGATCCGTCTTCAAAATGTTGAATATAAAACTTCTGCATGCAGGTAAATCTGAATTAGGAAAATGACATGTGGTCTTAAAGGACAATTTATAAACGTCATTAATTGTAGTCAAAAGCCTGTCAACGTTTCCATTTCTATTCAGATGATAGCTGTAGTTCACAAGCAGTTCTGGAAGAAGCGTCACGAATCTGCAGTCAAGAATTCGACATACAGCATAGTACAATACAAGTCGAGACATCGAGCGAGAAAACTGCCGAGTGTATTCAATGCGACGAACCTAGCAAGTGACAGCGTTACAGCACGTGAGGGATCTTGGGAAATATAGCCGCTGGACGGCGGAAGGCACGAACTTCGACTCTTATGAAGATGTAGGTCATATGATCGAGCTTGTTCCAGCTTATGCTTTGAGAAGATTCAGCAAAAATAGCTCAAGTTGGTCATTTGAAATTCGTGTCAATCTTCGGCCACTCGACTCTTTTACATTCTTGCTCAGTCTTTCTCGTTATTATACCTAACGCCCTTCTGTTTGAACTACAAGCTTACGTTTCGTGGATTCCTTCACTTTAGCGACAGATCTCTACGGAGCAAAAAATTAAAGCAAAATGTCGACATTTAAAAAGATAGGAATACATCGCCGCTCTTAATAATATTAATTGCTCTTCTCCAAGGGGGTCTGTTTGTTCATCAAGAACCTAGTCAACACCATCCGCGTCAACCGCTGACAGAAACAATACTTCTCCGAGACGGTTAAATTAGTATAACTTCAAACTGTGCTTCAAACAACTTGGTTTTGAGGTCTACTGAAGAAAACCTTACAAATGTGGTAACGTAACGGGAAAGATCAAAGGAAAGTTTTCTCCACATTTTAAATCTAAATGAAAGTCTAGACCCAAAACACTCGTAAAGTTTTCTAAGAAAAAGTTAACTTAAAAGCTAGTAAACAGTAAAGATTTCATCAAGATAGATATAACATGGGAGCCTCCGCTTAGGAATATTAAATTTTACTTCTCTTGATGTCATGGCTTTTATGTGTCCTAACTGTGTCCCGTGAAGGCAAACAAAAATTCTGCTGCTAGAGGTGGGATCAGTGAAAGATGCACTGCAGAGTTCGAAATAACGGCCGGTCATGAGCAAATGTTCGGCCAAATATAGGCATCGCCCGGTCAACTCCTAAGATGGCCTGACATTTTGTCCGGTTGGTTAAGTACGTAGAGAAGAATTCACTTCCAAGCTAGGATGCAATCATTTATTGTTATTATTAGCATTCCCGAAGAAAAAGAGGGAAAGACGATACTAACAGGCTAAGAACTTTTGATAAGTGACGGTGGTCGCAAATGTTAGCACGGTCATTCATCAATTATTTGTCATCGCAAATTTTATCGACTGAAGACGGTTTCGGTTTCAACACTATTGTCGGTTTTTAGACATTAGTGTCCGATTTTAGATACTTGTGTCAGATTTTTCTTGCATTCACTTCGAGGTTAATTATACATGTTTCATAAGCGGTGGCGTAATGCGTATTTTCCAGGCCAAAATTGGGTTGTTTCCGTGCAAAATTAGGTTTGACCGGCGCCAGCAGGAAAATAATTTCAAGTCTTGTACTAAAAATTTTGGAAAGAGAGATCAGGGGAAAAGAGATGTCGAAGTGGTCCATCCCACCCATTCTACTCAAAAAATATCCCTTGCATGCAGAGCTTGCCAATTTTATTTAAATATTCACAAATACGTCTTCATTCGCTTATCTTAAAAAGGTTCATTTGTACATTATCATCTCCTCGATCTCTTGGTATCTGAGTCTCTGTTGTCGTAATACCAAACCCGTTTATTCCCTCCTCTGCGTTGCCTTCTGTCTCGTTCCACTCGTCGAGTCTCTTCATCGTCTCTCATCCCTCGTCTCGTACCATCCTTGAAGTCTGCTTTATTTTCGCGCTCCTCTTCAGGCATGTCTCCAACATCAGAATTATTACCAGTAATGCCGTGTTCTTCTTTGTACTGCATTTCTAATACGTGCATTTGCGTCTCGATAAGGTCTCGCATTACCTGCAAACAGAGGACCTAAGATAAAGGATTGCTTACAAAATAACAGCACAGGGTATCCCGTAATACCTTGGTTCACAAGCTGTCTTAATAAGAAGGCATAGGGTCACGCTTTATCTAGAAACTGACAGTTCGCGGTGTCACGCGTCGCCTTAGCTCACACGCTAGCTTGAATCAGGTGGCATAAGGTAACGCATTATCTATCAACAGACAGGTGGAAGTGTCACGGATTACCAGAGAACATACACCCTATTCAGACCGACAACGTAAAATGCATTTAGCATTACGTCACCCATTGCTAAGGCAGATTTAGACAGATTTATGGTACGAATTAAGAATTAAATCATACATTACCAGGGGTCCAATATTATTTTTTGCGAAATCCACTACAAGTGTCAGTTTAGCTTCGACAATGTATTGATAATTAGCCCTGTGACGGGGTAGAGGCAGTTTTGCCGCTGTATCCGTCTGTCTATTTCTCAGCGACGGACGCACGTACGTATATACGTACGTACGTCCGTCTGTCTGTTTATCTATCTTATCTTACCGTCTGCTTGTCTGTCTGTCCTAACGTTTGTGTTTAAGCGCGTGCGTCAGTCCGTCCGTTTGTCTGTCTCACCGTCTGCTTGTCTGTCTGTCCGTCCGTATGTGCGTAATCACGTGCGTCAGTCTGTTTGCCTGCCTATCTATCTCACCGTCTGCTTGTCTGTCCGTCAGTATGTGCGTAAGCACGAGCGTCAGTCCGTCTGCCTGTTTGTCTGTCTATCAGGATAAAATTTCAGACTTATAGAGAAATTATAAAGCGGATGTTCCTTACGTTTTGGGGATGGCTTAGATCAGATTTGAGTGTGGCCCGGGATTAGACAGCCGATTCATACCTCAACAGCACTCCTTTTGGTGATGTGTACATTCTTCGCCCGGTAGCTCTGTCGCCGACGTTTGTAGTCACGCTGTTCAGCTAACACTTCAAAATGAGTTTTTGGTTGATCACCCTCTGTTCCTACATTACAAGAGCGTGACATAAATTAGTACATGACAAAAATTCGAGCGTGACACATTCGAAAACGTGCAAGATTCATTATTTCTTAACAAAAGTATTTTTGCAAGAAGCCTACTCATTTTCCGTTGAGCATGCCATTTTTCTTACCTTTAGACTCATTCGAGTCAGAAACAATTTCTAAATCCATCTCCTGTTTGTCTGTTTCTCGTTTTGCCTTTGCAGCCTGTAGAAAAAACAGAAGTCAAGACCGAGGAACCTGGTAACTAATTTTTACAATCAATAACAAAGCATATACCAATATTTAAGGCATGACTCCTAATCTTTCGAGTTCCCCTAACAGTTTTTTGGGTGAACAGAGGCATTATGGGTGGAAAGCAACTTGGCCAAGAAGACAACAGAGTGATTCGGCCAGAGCTTGGACCCAAACCTCTCGAACAAGTGTCAAGAGCGCGCGGCTCTCTCCAGTTTTGAATTTTTTTCTGATTGAGAAGAGCAATTGGTGGAAAACAGAACTAAACCAATCATAGGGTTGAAAATGAAATAAAAGGCAAAGAGAAAGCGAATATCTCCCAGTAATCAGACGAACTCTTCATTTCTGTTGCACAAACAATCGGGTATTTCGACTGTTACAATGTTTTGCTTTTAGTAGTTGGTGATATACCATAAGACTCTACATACGGGAAAAAAACATTGCAATCTATCGACTTTAAGTTACCTATTTCTTGGTAACAAACCTGTATCACGTGCTCATAGACAGTGAGCCGTTGTTGGGGAGAGAAGTCAGATATTACTCGGTCCATCGGGAGAGGTATTTCTTTCACGGGGCTTCCAACAGGTTCTGGGTGGTCCTGAACGTCTGTCTTTGTTTCAAAGCTATTGGCTATGAGGGGAGAAAAAATTGCAAACTCAGTTACTGAGTAGTAGCAGATAGGTTAATATTTCCGACTATAAATTAAGAAATAAAAAATCCACAATAATTGTGAAAAAGGTATCAAGCATGTGCAAACACTACAGTTGCTTGTGACAAGCAAACTTCACATCAATTGAAGGAACGGTATCATGGCATACCTGAAGAATCTTGCGTCTTGTTTTCCATCTGAGACTAAGAGAAAATTAATATGAAGAAAGGAGGTAAGTTTCTTGTACGAGGAAATGCTTTTGAGAAGATAGGACACGAGATTTTTTCTGACAACAACAAAATATCTGAAATTAGAGTAATGTATTGATATAACTATAGTATACTCACGTAGATGGCAGAGTTTTTCTCCTTGGTAACTGAAACAGCCAGAAACTTCCACAGGTTCAAAACAAAAGCCTTTGTTTCTAAAATAAGCATCAAGCAATGCAAGAGAAAATAAAAAAGTAATACTTAATACACAATGAGTTTGCAAAAAACCACAGGCCTAACAGAAGCGTCTTACCATCTCCTAAAAAATCTTTCAGCATTTCTTCCAATCCACTGGGATGAGCAACTTTCTCCTCTTGAAGGCAGGACAAAACAAAATCCACCAAATGTTCACTGGCACCATCAACAGAACTGTTTCAAGGGAAAAACACTTATTTACATTGTAACATGCGCAACGTATGATAACCTGGCAAATGTTGTTACTTGCCACCTGACAGTATTCATACCTTTAATCAAGAAGCAGATTTCATTTTCTGACACCTTTACCCTTTAACTCCCAGAAGTGATCAACATGAAACTTCTCCCTATAATATCCTTACATTATCCAGCAAATAGGTAATGAGAATATTCAAACTTATCACTTAGAAGTTGTCATCTTGATCTAACACCAAATTCTCATTACTAATTTACAGGGAAATATGTAGAAGCTAGAGAGGAGAATTAACGATCAGATCTCGGGAGTTAGAGGGTTAAATGTCATAAAATTCCATAATTTTCCCCTAACTTCTCTGGATATTTTTTCGTTTTCTAAGCCCCATTGAGACTTTGGCCTAAAAATAATGGTCAAATGATCATTTGTTCATAATATTTCTTGCTTTGTTGTTTTATGAAAAATTGTTTTAAGTCTTACAGGTTTTCCATGACTTTCTATGACTTTCACACTAACTTCAAAGGTTTTTGTAGTCTGGAAAATGATTTTGTTCAATTCTATGACTTTCCACCATTTCTATGAGACAGACCCCTGTGATAATATTTCATTTAGCTTGCCAGCAGGCTCACATTAGCTCTGTGGCAAGTGAGAAAAAAGGCCATAAGATTTACGCAAACAAGCAAAGCTAGTCTATTGTAAACACCTAACAAAAGCCTCTGCCACACTTGCTTTGCTAGCTGACTGAAATCACCACCACTCGCCCAGCAGCTAATTAGAGCCTGCTTGTTGGCTAAGCTGTTCATTTCCTGTAAGCATACCTCAAGTACTGAACTTGTGGTAAGTTCCCAATGATCCAAGTCTTGATTTCTTCTTGTGACAAAAGATGAAGCTCTAGCTGCAGTTGAGAGGATGGTATCACTTCCCATGCCATTATTGACCTGCAGCAAAGCATTCAATGATACATGTTGGAAAATAAAAAAAGTATGGATCATGAGCTAAAAGGCCTATACTGTTGATTATCCAGGGCCACTTTCCATAACATGTGAAGCAACTAGCAGCATTGCTAAAACCTGTGCCTGGGATGCTCCACAGCCCCCTGCCGTTTTTCAGGTTTAATTCAGCACAGACAATTCACTGGTGCCCATTTATACTCTTGGATCGATGGAAAGAGGCCCTATGAGAGAACAAGACAAGATGACCCAGCCAGGCCTCACACCTGGACTTGTAGTTCAGCAGTGCCTTATCCCTAACTCAACCGCATCTTCCACCCCACTGTACAATGCTATGACTATTTTGTGTCCAAAAGACAAATGGAATGTACTCATACATGTATGACAGACTCAATCCACATCTCACCTTATCTCATGTGCTGAATCATTGTGACAAGTCCTCCCATCAACCATCATGCTCTGAGTGTTATGTGCAGATCTTTCTTTTGGTGTCAACAAGGAACAACATGTTGGTACTGCCTAAAAAAAGACAGAAATCACCTGTGTATGTGTGTCAGATTTCATGCCCCAGTACAGGTATACATGTGCATGCACTGATTTCAATGTTTGGAACACAAAGCTTTTTGCCAAAAAAAACTTGTCAAAAGGAAAAAGAAAACAGCTTTATTGAGGATGAAATGATTTTTATTATTTTCCATACCTTGTTATCGACCCTCATGTGGACTCCAGTATCTAATTTGCCACTAAAAAGACCCATAAATTTAATGGAGAAAGAAGAAAGCATTTATAAAATATCAAAGGGGGATGTACAGAAAGCTTTAAAACTATTGGAATAGTTTCATCTATTATAATAATTCTATTATAAGATAGTATAGAAATCTAGACTTAATCTGAAAACCTGTCTCAGGCAAAATGGAACAAGTTAATATTGGTCTGTTTATCTTAATATACTATTTGCAGAAACCATGTACAATTTATAAATGTACATAACAAATCATAATTTTGGCTCATACCTTTCATGGCCGTTTTTGAGAGAACTGTAGTGCTTTTCATCTAGTGTAGAAAAGAAATGATAAGAAAAAACACCCAAGTAAACAGCAATGTTAATGAAAACATTTCATGTTACTTTGTTGCAATGCTTTAAATCTTTAAGAGTGACTAGCATCTAATTTCTCCTTACAATATGTAAACCCTGAATTAAATATTAAAGTTGCAAGGATAAAGGAAATGATCATCAACTAAAGAAACTCTTTGACAGCATTTTAGGAAATGTATGGAGAACTGTATAGAGAATGTACAGACTGATCTTTGGATGTAAGGGGTTAAAAAATGAAACCAATGATATTCCTGTATGATTAACTGAGTTATGTAATCCAGCAAAACTTCTCAGCTTCATTTGTCTAGCATCTTGGCTGTGTCACAGACATGTGTCTGCTTTCTGATGCTTGGGATTTTTAATCACATTTGAAAGAGTGCTTACCATAAATAATGGCATAAATGAACTTCTAAAATAGTTATGTATAATAAAATACCTATAGCAATTGGTATCACTGCCTTGCATGTTTGGTAGAAGAATTCAGGGCTAGTACAGACATCCTGTGGATAGAGAATTGAAATTAATCCTCTAGGTGTAAGAATTATTATATAAAGTTGTTTATGTCCCCACTCAATGGTATCATGTTCATGCTTTGACCCTTGAACTCCCAGATTAAATTTGTCTTTCTCCTTACTGTCAACCATACAATTCTTATGATGTTAGTTCAGAGAATTTAGAATTGGATCAACTAATTATCTCCAAATTGATATTTTTCTTTATTCTCATCACTTATCTGGTTGATATCATATTGGTATTGTTAGGAGAAATTCTGTCTTGGTCACTCATGGAAGTTATAATAATAATAATAATAATAATAATAATAATAATAATAATAACAATAATAATAATAATAATATTTAATGAGGGAGCTCAACTCACCATGGGAGTTTTCAGTGGGAAATTAATTAATCAAATTAATTACCTTAATTGATATAATAATAATAATAATAATAATAAATAAAATAAAATGTGTTTATAAATAAAATATCAAAGTTTAAAATTAATCAAAATTTTTTAAAAAAGTTTTCAGCTTGGATTTAAAAGTAGATAAGAGATGTGTTTCTTTGAGATCAGTTGGAAGACTGTTCCAGTCTTTCGCAGCTTGATAGATAAATGTTTGTTTACCCCAGTTAGTTCGAGGAAGGGGTAAACGAAGATCATTGGAACGTATTGTGTTATATGGATGGACAGCTTGATTTTTGATAAAATTAAAGTTAAAGTCAGTTTCCCCAATCAGTCTTGTGGATTGCAATGCAACGATGAAAAAAACCTTCTTGTGGAGAGTGACTTGAGATCTAAACTCCTCAGTGCTTTGGTTGATGAGCTTTCAATTGGAGTGGGTGCCCCAGCAGAACTTCAGCAGCTTTATTCTGTAGGATCTGTAATTCTAACATTATGGTTTCATTGTTCTTGTCCCTCCATATAACATCTCCATAATCAAAAAGAGGGAGGATTAGGGTATTGTAAAAATATTTACAGTTGTAAGACACACCTGAGGATTAATGTCCTTTGTTTTGTACTGGCAAAGAGATAAGTGTTTATTGAGTCTTGATGCTGGTATTCTGTGGCTGAAGTCATATGGACAGTGTATCAACTTTGAACTGTTGACCTTAGAAGAGAGAGCACTAATTTACACTCTTGTATGAACTGACTGTAATTTTGCATTAAAAATCATATCTTGTCATAAGGCAAATTAACACAGATTAATTGGTAAGATTGTAAAATCAAAGTTCCAATATATTTTTTTAATCCAAGACTGGACTTTTAAACTTCTGCAAGCAAAAATATTGAAAATATTATATACTTTAAAGTTGTCATGTGGATTACGATTTCAATTGCTGCACACGCGTGTAAGCTTGCTGAGTGAGAATAACAAAATACATGTATCTTGAAATTATATATTCAAGACTGGGTGCGAACAAACCCACCCTTTCACGTTCGCACAACATGTACCGGACACGGATGACGTAAACCAGAAGAAGCAAAGGGAAGCAACAACACAGTTGAAGGTTATAAAAAAACAATAGTGGGGAAAGATGTTTTCATTTGACTCTGCGCGCAGAATTGAACTAAGTAAATAAAATTATTTTCCTATATTACATTAAACAAGTACTCATGACGGGCTTAAAGGAAAGTCTCTCCAGACCTTCTTCAATAAATCTTCTTTTCTCCACTTAAAACGCGACAGAATTCTTTCCATTTCCGTTGCAGTATGAGTCACAAAGGAAGATATTTCCCGAACACAATGCTCCTTCTTCTCCGCCATCTTTGATCATAACTATTGGAGACTGGCACGAGTTTATACCATATTAGGCATATGTCATATCCGATGGGAATTCGAAGGCAGAAAATAATATAGAGGAGTGTTGTTTAGGAATGCCTTGAAAATTAACGTTTCGTACTAACGGCGGTAGGTAATTCCAATCAAAAATGGGTTGCTGTGGCGGAAGAACCATCCTTTTCTTCATCTTAGTCCTTCAAATGGTACGTATCACGTTTCAAAATTTCTTGGCGTTGCATTCGGCCTGATTTGAAGACGTTGGCACGATAAGCTTATCAGGATACACAAGCTTATTTTAAGAACTCTTTAGAATAATAAACATTGATAACAGTGCCATCGCTGACTAATAATGTATTCTCCATTCGCTTTGTTTGTATAGCTGGTGGTTGTGGAGCGACAAGTTTTCGATTTCCTGGGATTCATGTGGGCGCCTATCATCGCAAATTTCATCCATATTGCTTTCCTCATCATAGGAATCTTTGGTGCCTATCAATACCGCTCTGCTTATGTTATAACGGTAAGAATTATTTGTGTGTATGTGGGGAAAAATTCACTAACTTCTAGCTGAGCGGATGATGATATAAACACTGAAGCCAAACACAAAGTTAACATTGCTTCAGCAATTAGTGTACAAAATTTTTGGCATGATTCCTTTGCATGACTCAACCACTTGCTGTTTCCATTGAGTGTACTTTTACACAATACATTTTTGTGCCGTGTAAGACCGAAAACTGCTCGATCCCTCCTTCTTTATTTCTAATAAGAATGACTAGACGTCTAGTAATTGTTGCTGAAAGATTTAGAACTTCGAATTTACGTCAGTGAGTATCTTCAAAACTTAGTCCTTCTGGAACTATTGATCCAATTGATTTTCCTCGTACATTAGCGTTGTCACTGATTACGTCAGAAGGGGGATAGATATTGTATTTAATGTTGTACCATCAACATCATAGGTCCAGTTTTTATTACCTTCGTGAGTTACTGAAACGAGTTTTGCGTTACGTTCCAAAAATATCAATGTTATGCAAATCCTGTTAAGTAATTTGAAATACCCTATTGGCTGCTAATTTCCTCTACTATATTCCTTAAACATCATTTCCCTTTGAATACAGACCACAGCATGTGGTATTGTTAATAAAGAAGTTTGAATAATAATTTTCTTATGGTAAAAAACTGGTAACTCTTTGCTAAGGATTTTACTTGTACTAAAATTTATTCATGATCCAGTCACGTTTATTTTAAGTACTCTACCATTTCAAAATTGTTGACATGTCAATGAGGTGAATTGTGCGTGAAAATTTGATTAAGATAATTACAATAGACAACATTTTTGCAAAAGTTTTTTTTGAACAATTTTGTATGAAATCATTAAACTTAGAAAATAGTTGATGAATGAAATATTGAATTTGGTTGAAATATCACAGTTTATATACGGTAGAAAAATGTTTTCATTTGAATATTTGGCATGATTTCTGCACAGCCCCATACTTCATTATGCATTCAGTTCTTGGATAAAGAAAACAATGACTGAAACAATAGATCCCCTAAAGCTTTGTTTTAGAATAGTGTTGGGTCATGTGCAAACCATGTATTTGTTGTGGTTCAATTTTATCCTTGGTTCAGATTTTATTCTCTTTTGTTTTTGGGTATTGTAATGTATGATAATGAGTTTGAAACAAGGGAAAATTAAATTTGAACCAAGGATAAAATGGAACCATGTCTTAATGTCTTTAAGCCGGTTTTTGGTACAGAGATATTGCAAGCTAATTTTATTTCTACATTTTAACAGAAAAATCTATTTTTCTTTGCTATATGATTATATTTTGTAATTATTGTATATGTAGGTAATTTAGTGTTAACAACTAGGTTGAAAACGTAAATTAGCCACCGTAAAGAGTAAAAAAGCTGACGTTTGGAGCGTTAGCCCTTCGTCAGAGCACTTGGAGGAATTGTGGGTTGTGTGTGGGTTTATATGCAGAAAGTGGAGCTAGTCAGTCACCTAGTTGTCTTCCTGTTTCGCTGATGGCAGAAGACGAAGACAAAAACAGGAAGATGAAAGACAAAGATGAAAGATGAAGACGAAAGCGAAAACAGGAAGATGACTAGGTGACTGATTCCGAGAACACCTTCATGACGTGGAAAGAAATGACAAGGATGCATCCAAACCAGTCGCTAGACACTTTAATCTTCATAATCATTCTAAACAGCATATGGCAGTTTGCAGCCTTTCCTTATATCTAGGCAGTTCAGAAAGCCATAAAACACTAGAACAAAAATTTATCTTCCAAATTGGCACCCTTAATCCCCACGGAATCAATGAGCGCCTTTTATTTAACTAATTTATTCCTGTTTTCTCGTCACCATATTCCCACCAATGGCGTAGCTCCACTTTCTGCATATAAACCCACACACAACCCACAATTCCTCCAATCACTCTGACAAAGGGCTAATGCTTGAAACATTAGCTTTTTTACTCTTTATGGTGGCTAATTTACATTTTCAACCCAGTTGTTAACACTAAATTACCTGCTATACTCTTCCACTGACGTAGCACCACAGTTTCTTTAGAAACTTACCCCTTTATTCATTTATTGTATATGTATATTACTACACAGATACTTTCTGATGGACAATGATAATTGCTTTGAATAATTAACCCCTCAACTCCCTTGAGTGACCAAAACAGCATTTCTCCTTACAATATCAGTACAATATTCAGCAGAAAAGTAATGAGAATAAAGAAGAAGATCAATTAGGGGACTACTTGTTGATCCAATACCAAATTCTGTGAACTAACATTATAAGAATTGTATGGCAGATAGTAAGGAGAATTACTGATGCAATCTTGGAGGGAAAGGGTTTAAAGGGTAAAGGAACTTTTAGTAAGCAATATATGAATTCCTGTTGATTTATTTTCCTCTTTTTTTATTTCAGTACTCAGTTTGGTGCCTTATTTGGTTTGGAATTAATCTCACTATCATGTCTTTGTATCTGGAAATTGACAGACTGACGCATGTAAGATTACAGTTATGTTTAGCTTAATGGTTTTATGAATTAATGTTATCATCATCCAAATGATTGTCACCTAATTTTTCAAACTTCCAGCCTTTGTTTGAGGTTTTTGGGATTGTAAGTTCTTAAAAATGTTGTTGCGATTATACATTTAGTGCATTTGTTATATGCATGCAACAAATATTGTAATTATTAATGAATGCAAGTTTCCTGTGAAGACTAAAAACCCAATCAGTTGCAATGTCAGGTCAGATGCTCGACTAATAACTGAGCTGTATGTATACCTGCCATTTACATCTAGTAGGTAGCCTAGCCTCGAACAATGTCCTGTACATGCTTTATAATACTACAAGGACCAGTTATAGTATGTTCAAAATTTTTCTTCTGAAGAGAAGGAAAGAATGATGGATATTTTTAAGCTGAGTTGTCATCTTTGGCAAGGGACAAACACAAATCTGATCTCTCTAATTTGCAAAGTCTAGTTTCGATTTTTGGTTTTTGGGTCTTCCAAGAGATCTTATTTGGTCTTGAATGCTGAAGCTAAGTATTTGTCAATAGTGATACAAATGTGCAGAATATAAAATGTTTGTAAATAAAATTAATTTAAAATGTTTTCTGTTCTCTGGTTTACCTGTAATTAACGGACTCTTCCCCACACTCAAAGTGTTTCAAAATGTAACTGTATTTTGCTCTTTGCTTGTGTTAATTGTGTAGAAAGATGATTGGTTAAGCCTGAAAACTGGTCATCAGAGCTGGTGGGCAGAAAATGGCATTGGATGTGAAACTAAGTCTTCAACAAATGATGGTACTGAGAGTCCAACAGATGGGTGCTTACTTCTCTTCACAGTTAGTATACTGTACCTGCTATCCTGTTGCATGTAAAATTCTCTCTAAGCATATAATTATTTTTGATGATTGTCCTCAATCGTTTTGGCAACTCTTTAAGGTTACTGATGGTGTTTTAAGAATGTAGGGGATTGTAAAAGTTAGATTCAGAGAAACCAATAAAATGAGAAATACTGATGGTGAACAAAGATAAGAGAGATCGCCCAAAAAGGTTGATTAAATGTAAAGAAGAGAGTTGCTCAATTGCCTGAATCCTTTGCTGCATTATGTTGAAAGAAACATAATTATTGGTGGTATTTTTGTTTGTAGTATGTGGAATCAGTTCAAGCTGCGGCAGAATGCATATTGGCAGTAAGTAAACAGCACACTTTGCACCACATACACAATAATTATTCCTGTTCCTGTTAGAATTAAATCAATTACTGAAAGCAGTGAATGGTTCTGATCAAATCAACTTATTTGAGTCTTTTTTTTTGGGGGGGGGGAGAGGGCTTCAAATAACTCTGTTAGAAGAAGTTTTATAATTCATGTTTGTTCTTTTGGGAGCGGTGGGATGCAGAGTCAGTGGGAGTCCTGCAAGCCCTCTTCTCCTCTTTTCCCCTCCCCCCCCTCCCCTCCATTAACTTTTAGGCTCGTCTTGATAGTAACTCTCTCTACTGTACATCTGCCATGTACATAATCTGTAATGTTCATTTAGAGAATATAATAATGAATCAAATAGTATCCTCTGGTTGATATTTTGTTTTCTTCTGGTTACATTTCTGCTGGATATCAAATTGCTGTTGTAAGGAAAATTTCATTCTTCATCACCGCTGGGAGTTAAAAGGATTATCCCTGCCTGCCATGCAATAATGTGTAATGTATGGGAAAGACTGTGCAATCGTATATCTCCAACCATTTTTAATGACTGCTGTGTTGCTCTTTAGTTTATAGGTTTCTGGTTAGGCTGTTGGGTCTCCAGGTCTTTTACAGACGAAGATGACCATTGTAAGCAAGTCCTACTTTTGTGTTAAAAATTGAGAAATTTAGTCTAAGAGCTTTTTTAGGTTTACCCAAATGTAGCAAGTTTTAATAATCTCTTGCTACCTTGGCACTTGCTTTTGGTGTGATGTTTTTAAAGTAAGTTCAAAAGAAAGGTATATTTAAACTATGCACCAGAATCCACATGCTATGACTTTTATCGTCACCATCAACAACTATATATGAAATTATGAAAATGACACAATACTCTTAATTTATTTTGATTGTGTTGTTTCTCTGTCATAGTTGACTTCATTGGTGGTTTTGATTCTAATTCTGCTCACCATCCACCTTCAAAATCATCGCGAATGCAAATGCAACCAATATATATGTAAGTGTTATGTTAGTTTACTTCAATTATTAGCTCAGTTATGAAACCTCAATCAGATTGCACACACCAGGAAGCTCATTCTCCTGCACTTTTCTCCAGTTTATTGAACTAAGATTAGTACCCCTTTCTATACCCCCCGTGCTGCCCTCTTGGATGGGATTCTAGTTCTTCTCAGGTTACACCCCAATGACTTGTCAGGTTTTCCTGGCAGCAGGGTTTGTACAGCTCCTGGAAAGTCCTGGAAATCTGCTTGAATCAAGCAATGATAAAAGTGTTTAGAAATTACAGAATAAGAAGTGCATCTAGAAATATTTAAGGAGAACTGATTTAGAAATCTTGGGAATGAAAAGGTTTAAAGTAAAATTTGGAGTCAGAGAAAAATCGATCTGAGTCATGGAAAAGTCTGTGAAATTTGGTTATTGATAAGGGTGGACACTCTGTAGCAGCTCACCAGTTCCCATTCATACACCACCTCTGGGGGAGAGAGAGGCAATCTTATAATAACGCCCTAGAACAACCGTTACTAAGGGGGCACTTTCAAGGTGAAAGTTCTGGTTAATTGGTCGTCTCAAAAACCCTTTTATTTTGCACTTTGCAGTTTTAGTATTCAAGAATAAGATGTTAATAGCTTCCAAGTACACTTAAAAAAATAAATCTAGAAACTAACAGATTTCACTACCATTCTTTAGATTTAGAATTAGACTTATGGCTGGTAAAGTTATGGGGTCTTTTAAGTAACAGCCTCAAAACTGCAACCTTGAGTCACTTGTCACCATTTTTTTTTTATCGTCCAGATTTTTTGCTGACTTAATGCAATTGCATGCCTTTGTGTTTTCTTTATGTATAGGTCCACTTGAAAAAGAAGTAAATTTTGTTGAGAAGTGATGACTGCCCCAGTGGAGTGGACATCAAAAAAGTATTAGCTGTAATTTAATTATTGTAAGTTTTAGTCGAGAATTTTCAAAGTTGCGGAAGAGAGCTTGGAAGTCAATGCTGAAGGTCTGATGGGTTTTTGCTTTTATATGAGCATAACTTAGTGCTGGCATTCTGGTTAGGCTTATCAGACTGCTGTGGTGCATATGGTTTGGGTAACCTGTGATGGGAGCGGTGGAAAGGCAGCTGGTGCCAATCCAGGTTTAGAATACAGCCTTTGGTTTGACTTGAATGGATAAGGTTATGTTGGGGTCAATGTCTTATACTGTTGAATCCTAATTTGAGACATGCAGAAACATCACTTGACTGTTTTAGAAAAGCTGTAAAAGAGAACAAATTATCTATTATACTAACCCTGGGTCAGCTTAACCTTTAAACTCCTAGGGATTGACATGTAACTTCTCCCTATAATATCCTTGTATTATTCAGCAAACAGGTAATGACAATACTCAAACTTAACAAATAGCAGTTGTTTTCTTGATCTAACACAAAATTCTTGTCACTGATTTACAACAAAAGGTGTAGCAGCTGAAAGGGAGAATTAACAATTAGATCTTGGGAGTAAAGGGGTTCCTTGTAATCATATTGTAAACCACTTGGCCCAGAGATTTTATGAAAAGCAATGATGTAGCTCATGTAAATTAAACAAGTCAATTTAATCAATTATTCAATAAATGCACGTTAGTGTTTCCCTTGTAAAATTTTTATTAGGTTTGAATGTATTAGATTCCCAGTGTGCAATTATAATCATTCTAGTTACAGTTGTTCCACGTGTGTAAATAATAGTGAATTATTATAATTTTAATCTCAATATCTGTGGACCCATGTGTCAACTTTCTTGAAATGACGACAACTAATGTACATGACTGTTAAAGTATTGACTTGATTTGTCTCAATTGGACAGAGTTCCATTTTTAGCCTAAACATCTATTTGGAGTGGTAAGAACTTTTATTGCTTATTGTGGCTTTCTCAAAAATGTATGCACTTGTTGATGTGCAGCACATGATGGTAGAAGGTTTTTCACATGTTGAAAGTTATCAAATTCTTTCAACATGCCGGTCAAGATTGTAGGGATTTTCTCTTCTGCTGTCTACTGAGGTCCCATTAATATCTAAGTGTGATAAACTTGATTTTTGTAAAAGAAATTATTAGTGTAACTATGAGCTTCACTTTTATAAATCAGTTTAATATGTAACATTACCTTCTCTCTTTTATTATCTTTTTCCATTTGTATCTTATGTAGTTGTTCGTTAATGTTCATACCCAATAATAACTTTTTAAAACATATGAACAATGTCTGAACCGTTTTAGTTTGAACTATCTAGTTAAGCTAACTTTAAAATAACACTTTCAATACTTCAGATTTATGGTAGCTGATAGTTAAGGGAACAAATATTTTTGTCGGTTATTTCGTTTTCCTTCATTCCGGGAGTATATCTTTTCCTCAGCAATTGTGAGGTGTTTTCATCACAGAAATAGGCAGTAAAGAAATTTAGTATTTACCTTACATTAGTTGCTATAAATTGAATATCGTGTCCGATGTTCGTTGCTGCCATCTCACCAAATGAAAACGTTATGTTACGGGACTGTGTTAAATATTTTGGAAAGGCATAGAGATGTATATACACTTAAGTGTCTCACAGGGCCAAGAATTAAATATTGTACGAACTTAGTTACTTAAACAGAAGCAGATACGAAGTGTGCTTCACATAACCCGAGTCGAGTCGAATGTAACATTATTTAGTGCAGAAAGTATGTTATTTTATTTTCATTCGTTTGGTTTGTCTCTATTTCCATCATTCTTTGTTAGCTCACGTAATTCACCCTAACTATCCGTATCGTCTTAATGCGCTGTTTAACTCTTAGATGGTGTTCATTTTGTTTCTGAGTTTGATTCATTTGCTATTTTTTCTTGCTTTTTAATACTGAATAAACTGGATAAACATTTATATATCGTTGTAGTTCTTTTTCATTTTGTAAATATGAAGAATATTGACTGACGAACTGATTGGCTTCGTAGATTCACTAAACTACTGACCACACTTTTTCAGTGACCAAACGACGGACAAGCAGCCAAGAAGAACTTAGATAAATCCAAATTGACGGCGGCAAAAACGAAAAGGTACAAACTGCCAGCTCGCCTTTACTTCCAAATCTTATTGGTTAAGAATGTTTCGCGTGTTTCTGAGTTAATCGTGGAGTATGGCATAGAAAAAAAGATTGAAAGTTAAAGATTCGGCAATTCGACAGGTCTGACTGATTAATTGACATCTCGTCCCGAGAGCCTCTCGTTTTCATGACCGTTACGGGTGTGACTAGATCGCTTGTTTCTCCGGCCAGGTGACCAAGAGGAACGAAGAATCTGGAAACGGGAAAGAACGACCGACTGAATGATGGTTGATATCGTAAAAAAAATATCTTAATAAACTATTTCCATATTGTAAGATAATCTTAAATGTCCGCGGCGGTCGTCATGTAAAATTAGACATTTTCAGATTAATCGCAATTCATTAAGATTGAACGGATAAAGAGATATCAAGAAAATTATGCCGGCCAATTTCCGTTTATGGCATTTGTTTCTTCCTTGTTTAACTCCAGTCTCCGGATAGAAATTGCAGTTCGATTGTTAATAGAATATGACAGAAATTCATCCACTTCTGTTCTCTGTCGACTACAGAAAAGAATGGATTTCAGCGCTCTTCGATATTGCGATAGCCGCCAGGCGTAAACTAGCGGATCGATTGCAAACTTAAGAAAGAGAATGCCATTGGCGAATAACATTGCAATTCCTAACTTTACCATTTGAACGGATGGGGTTTTTATAACCCAGTGTTGAGCCAAATAAGAAATAACCGTGACTGGCATGGTGCAAGCGATAATGAAAGACAGTAGTAACAGATTAACCACAATGAATTGTCTTTCTCGGCTGACTCTACCCCGTCGTTGTTGTCCATGCGTTGAATTGGTGGGTCTCCATGAATGCAAACGCCTCATTTGTTGCCTAAATGCTCTGAACAGGCAAAAATAGGCAACAGTTAGAAGGATGAGGCTGCCTGTAGTGTTGAAATAGAGATCAATTTTTAAAAACGTTTTATGCGATGCTTTAATCTTGCTGAATAACGAAAACATCCCAGAATATGCCCATGTTAAGATCACACTTGTTTGAACTCTTTTCTTGGTCAAAAACGCTCGGTGCTTGTGCGGAAAGCTGATAGCCGTGAATTGACACCATGTGAAAAGAAGCAAAATGATGAAAGAACTGTTCATTGTCACCATAGAGATATGCTGACCGATTTGAGCGATCTTTTTAAGATTTGAAATATAGAAGAAATCACGGTTTTTGTAAGCTAAGGACGAAGAGATGAAATACCAAGCGTACATCGGACACGCTGTCAGTCCTGTAAGAAAATCGGCCGCTGCTAAACCAATGATAAAAAAGGTAGTTGGTGTTCGAAATGATTTAAAGGGGTCTCTCCAAATCGCAAGTAGAAGGAGACCATTTCCAAAAGTGGTTATTACGGATAGAACAGCTAAAAGGATTCCCAATATGATGCTCAGCTGATGATAAGTTTCCACAAGCTGGATTAAATCGAGTCTGGTTCGCAATGATTGCGTAGAATTCATTGTGGAGTTCATCTCATGAGCACAGAAGTCGCTGATGCTGCGGAGATTGTTACAGAGCGATGAATTTGCTGTTAATCACCAGGACGATTTTTTTTTCTACCGTCAAAATGTGAGACAAGTTCTTGAGCTAATTTTGGCCTATGAAAGGTAATACTAGCAGCTGAAATATGCCACGCTAAAGGCTTTTAGTTTTTCTTTAACAAGGTGTCTAATGTGAACTTTTCCTACAATAACGTGTGTTTTTGTATTGTTCCAAAAGTAAACAAAATGCTATTCACAGAAAATACGAGATTTATTAAAATATAAAACTCGCATCACTTATCAACCCAGGATATTGGTAATTTTAAACTAAATAATTAGATTTTAAAGATTCCGGTCCAAAGAATAATCAAAACTTAAATGATTCTGACAAACCGGAACTTAATTACTGATAAACTAACTCGCTCATTTGTTTCGTTCACTCGGCTTTGTATAAATTGGCAAATAAATCTTGCGAAATTTCAGCTTGCGTTTGATCATCAACAAATATACCACTTTTTTAACAATTGCCTACTAGTTAATTTTCTCTCCTTTTTTTTTTTTCTTTTTCCAATTGACATATTTTTTTTGGAACTTAACAGATTGAACTCTCGCTCAGAGTCAATTGAATACCCTTTTTTATCGTATGAGCTGTGCTACCCCGCGCGCTCAATCTCGTACAAAAAACCACGGTGAAAGCTGACATAAATAAGGCTGGACAGATTAACGTGAGCCGGTCCTGAAAAAGCCTTCGGGCCTTGCACGCACAGGGCTCTCCGAGAACGTGGATTGAAATTGTGGACTTCAGCTGACAGAAATCAAATGTGGGAATGAGTCGGGCTTCTCAAGGATTATTTCTTACTGTAGATTCTCGTAATAATTGTTCAGTGCACACTCTTCTTTTGTATGCGCGCAAGTTTTTTCTATTTACGTTCAAAAAAAAAGTTTCGAAATTTTCAACACTTAGTGGTTACATTATAAAATACCATCCTCCTAACAGACGTCAATACAAGACCCCGGTGGATGTAAAACAGGTCGGTGAGGGAGGGGGGGACGGGAGGAAGGGGGGGAGGAAGGGGTGTCTTACCCACAGCCTTGTCGTGGGTCGTGGTGTTTTTTTTTTCAGGATGTAATTTCTGAAAAATAATGGTTCTCTGATATTGGAGGCCTTATGACCATAACTGCCGTAGCACAACCGTAGCATAACTGCCTGCATATTCCACCCGGGATTTAGTTCGCTACCAAACCATAGTGTCAGCCATTAATTTAATTTAGGCTTCACAAGAACCTTTTATTAGAAACCATTTCTATAACAAATGGTTGTGTGACTACTTTCATTTTTTCAAGGATTTCCTGTGTACTTAGTGTTAATCCAAGATTTGCGCAGAATCTATAGAACATACATTTCGAGAAAAGAAGCTCTAGAGAAACAACTGATATTGACAATTATAAAAATAACAAATCAAATCGTACAGTAGTACCAAAGTTTTCGAATGTTTACAGAATGACACAATTCTAAGTGAGCGTTTTTTGTGCCTAACTTATTCCAAAATTTTCCCTTTTCAATTGTTTATCTTTCTATAACAAATATATAACATCAAGATGCTTCACATGAATTTGAGCGTTGTGTTATCCGATACAATTCTTTAAGCATAAGATTTCTACCTTTTAAAGGGGAGCAGCTGTTTCTAGAAAGGTTGTCGGAAAAAAGGACAAAAGCGCACACGATCATCTCGAAAGGTTATCTAGGTATCCGGTACAACATGATTTTTAAGAAGTCAGAGAAACGAATAAATTTACCAAATCTGCTATATTTCGTCCTAAAAATGTTTCTCAGATTTCCCTGAAATCCTAAGGTAAAAAAAAAAAAAGTATCCACGATACCTTTCGCGTGCACGACAACCTTTCCTGAAACAGCTGTTTAGTACAAACTTTATAACCTATTTACCTTACAAAGAAGTGTTCTTGACAAATCGTGATTATCGAAATATGAATATAAAAACTAAAAATTATTAACCAGAAGCATTTTCTATCTTTACAAAACTTATAAAAACGGTAGTTGCTATCTCAGTTAGAAGTTGGTTTTGCGCGTAATTATATTGAGGTTACCATAATTTTTGATGAATTTGAAAAGTAATTTCTTTCCGTCATCGGTGACGATTCATATGCCTCCGGGGAGGGGGTTGAGGACGAACTCTTCCGACTTCCACTAAAACTCGCCCCAGTATTTCCGATGTCAGAAACCTCCTCGTGTGCATCTGTTGAGTATTCCTGTGAAACAGATCATATGACGTGTATTAGGGGTGGTGTTTAGGGGGAGATTGGAGTAGTCCTGCACAAGTAGGTACAAAGACGATTATGTCAAGGAGTCCTGGGGAACTAAGGTTGAAAAATGGAAACCGCTCCAGCGTGGAAAAACGAAAATTCGCGATTAGGTTGCGGTTGGGTGTTCTCCTGTTGGATCTGATGGGCCGAGGGGATAGCGTGAATTTTCCAGACCAATCATTAAGCGTAGTGCATCAGAAGCTATACAATCTCAGATCATCTCAGTTTATCACTCAAATATCACCTGTAAGCTGTTCCAAAATACCTCAAGTCTATAGTGATAAATGAACCCTTCTCTTTCAAAAGGGGCTTTGTAAGGCCGAGCACCTCAGCCATAACAGAGGTAAGGATTAAAATGAAGATAAGAAAATATAATTAGAATTAAAGGTATATTACAAATAAGGTTAGCAAATTTAAAGATGATTGATGGCTTAAAATACAGACCATTGAAATTCAAGTAAGAGAGAAGTTGATAGAGGAGTAAAGATTGATTGAGAAAAGAAGAATAAAGAGAGCAGCAAAGTCGTACCAGCAGAAGAGTGAACTGGTCTTGAAGCCGTGGAGTGCTACTCATACCTGTGCCTCGTACAGCTCCTCTCTACCCTCTTCAGCTATGTGGAACGCGCCTCCATAAAACGGGGATGGTTCTCTGAAACGAGAACAAGACCACCTGTCAAAAGCGCTCGTATTATAAGGGAAAACGTCCCATACAACGAAAACAAAATTGTTGCTTATCTAAAACACCGAAATTCGAGATTTATTTGTACACGAAATGTCATATATAAGTGTTCCCATCGTCACGCCGACGTATCATGGCAAAAATACAGCAAGATTGTTCACGCCATGCCTACAGCTTGTTTAAGAGAAATGAAGTAAAGTTGTTCAGTTTAAGACACTTTCAAACGCCTTAAATACTTATTTTTCTATTTTCCGTACTTGCCACCCTTATTCGATTTGTTTGAACAAAAGGAAGGAAATAAGTTCTGTTTAACAAGGTCGAAAGGCAATACTTCTTGAAACGAAACAAGTAACAATGAAAGGTTGATTTGTTTGCTTAGTTTATTTCTGGGATATTTTGCATTTTAAAGATATGAAGGTGAAAAAGATAAATTTGTAAAAGATACTGTTCGAGTTCTATGGAGGAAAGAGAGGGGGGGGGGAGGGGGGGGGAGAGGGGATAGCTGGGGAAGGAATTATCCCTCGTCTTTATGAAGAAAAAAACGCTTTCTTTACGTTTCTGTTCATAATCTGTGTTACTGTAGAGAACATATATCATAGCGGCGATACATACACTGGTGCGTCCTCGTCATCAGTCTTCATGCCCCAGTTATGATACGGGTCAACCCAGATTGGGTTTGATCTGAAATTTAACCATAACGTCAGGGACTGGTCATGATATATCCCCAACAAAAAAGGGGGAGGGGGGGGAGGTGGAGGACTTGTTTGAGTCATAATAACTTTTACCTGATTCTCTTCTAAGGTTCTGTAATATTCTAATAATTCTGCTGTGTTGGCAGTCAGTCCCCCTTTAATACTCTGTTTAGCAAGAACTGATCCTCCCCCTGGGTGACTTCATGAATTTTTTTGTTCAGCGGTGCAATTTAAACCACACTTTGTGACTAAAGTTTTTTTGCATGATATCAGAGTCTTTTCTGGGCAAGGTACTTGAACGGAAAATGGACTGACTAGATCCGGAAAGCGTCAAGAGGGTGTTAAACTTACCCCTCAGAGATGTGCATATTCGACGTAGGAATAGCTGATACTGTTCCATTGTTGACGGAGCGTGATCCTGTTCAGGAATGAAACAAAGATTGTTTGCTCTTTATGGTAGAAGATTATGACATCGCATGTCTCAGTCTTGGTTTTATCGAAAAAACTAAACGTAATGGGGAACAGAAGTTCTCAATCGTGACTATTTTACATGAATGTAAACGCTTAGTGTGTTTTTCTAGGATTGAAAACTGCCATAAGACCCGGCAAAGGAGTGTGTTTCAGGCAACACAAAAGAGATAGGATAACTTTTTAAAGCTAGGGAACCCTAAATCCAAGAAGAAAACGAAACCAGAGCACTAACCTCCATAACTAACTGCAGTCGCCGCCCTTAATTTTCTATTTTGCCTAAAATTTAAAAACATTTAAGAAAAATGTTAATACTTCAATTCTATTTCGATGCATGAGGATCTGTATTTATATGACATGACAGCTATTTTAGGCCCTAAACTGAATTTTGCTCTCCTTCCATTTTTGTAAAGCTTCGTATACAAACTTCAATGTTTCGCAAGAAGAGGAGGCTGACTGCCTAAAATAACATCCACTTAGACATCATTCAAATATCAATCTTTTACGTGCTGAGTTATTCAATAAGCTTCTCCCATTTCTTCAATTCTAATACCAAAACTTAAACCTTTTCATAAATTTAGTTTCAAGTTTCGTGATAGCGATAAGATTTAATCTTAGAATATGATCTTAAATTTTCACTCCCTACCTAATAAAATGTTCTCTAGTATTGAATTCGAATGTAATAGTTATGATTTTCTATCAGAGTTATATCCCGAATCCTGTAATCTGATTGGCTACGATACTCGTTGTTTATTTCGTAATATACAGATAATGAGTACAGTGAGTAACATGTGGTGTGATTCATCTGAATCATAAAATTATAACAGACATGAGTCTGTGTTATTGTTATGTTTTGGTCGGCTAGTAGATTTACACTTAAGAAAATTAGATTATTTGCTTTCGATACCTATGTGTTATAGCTCATTAGCGTTTCGCCCTCATCAACTAACACACGATAGATAAAATCTAGTTATTACTGAGAATACGCATTCAATCGCCCGCGAGAAATTTCTGATCGTGAACTAGAGAGACTAGGTCGAGTACATCTGATCGAGGCTAAGTGGTGAGCTTTTTCGGGCGAGATATTTATTATATCAGCGCGCAAAGTAATCTCTCCTTGTTTGTCTTAATCATGGTGTTTGTTTTGATTTTGTTTTTTTTTTTTTACTATCATTAAAAGCTAAAATGAAAAACGCATCGAACTTGGGTACATTAAAGCTGATTGATGTCAAAAGAAGATTAAAACACATTTGATACCTCCTCCTGAGCTGGAAAACCACACAGCAAAATATCAGAATAACTATGACAAGGAGAATTCCAAGACTAATGACCACAGCAAGCACTACGGGAAATTCGTCATCTTTCTGGTCGTCGACGTGAGCCTGGCGATCAATGCAAACATACAAATTATATTTTCTAGAGTGCTTAATTACTGGTCAAATTTATTTAATGGCGATTAATAACGGTGAAATTTTACAATGCTGTGCTTAAAGGACAGGTACGTTCCAAAAACCACATATTTGTTCTCGAATCCTCCCGTGTTTTGAGAGATATGGCTATGGACGACGCCATTTTGTCGGGATACAGCTTGGAATCCCGACCGTTCACTTGTAACGTCACACACTTTCACACAAGCCATATCTTTAAATTTTCTGTTCCAAATCATACAGGGCTTATAGCTCGTGTAAGGGAAAATAACTTCTAGCATATTTAACTGCTTGCTTGTCAACTGACGTTGGTTTACGTTGCTGTTGAACAGGCAACCAACATAACCTAGCATACCTTAACTTCTTTTATTTTCCATTCATTGAAGAATCCAAGATGCTTATCGTAATTGTTGTCTATTTTTCTACGAGGAAAGAGATGAAAAGAAATTAATGAAATCCACCGGGTTCATTTTAAAAGACAGAAACAACAGCTTAATGAGTTGAATTTCTTACTCTATTACGATTTCTTTGTCGACAACTTTGTTAGTTTTGGGATCCACAGCATGGAAGAGAACCGCTGTCCTAAGTGAATAAAAAAGAAGGAGTGAGTCTGAAATAATCTTACTTAGAAACGTCCACGAGAATGAAAGTCTTAGGGTTTATTTAATTATTGATGTATTTGTTATTTGCAATATCTAGACAGGCTGGCTCAGTTTCGACTTAAAGCAGTAGTAGTTGGCGAGAGGGAGGTAGTCCATGTTGCATAAGGTCACCAGTAAAAGCTGATGAACCCTTTTGATGGAAGGCGAGCACTCCTAACAATGCGCCAATCCTGTTCCTCTTATCGATATTTAGCAAAAAGAAGCCTTTTAAATCATCTTAAGTGTCCAAATGTTTGACTTAAGGGGTGCACTTACCTTAAATATTGACTTACCTTTCATAATCGTAATTTCCATCTTTATCTTTGTAATAGTTTATGTCATCTATGTTTATAATGTAACCGGTGATATTCTCTAGTACCCTAAGAGAACACAACACAACAAAGAGGAAAATAAGTCTGACTGCTAAGTAAATATACAGAACAAAAACAAAAAAAGATTTTCTTCACCTTGTTTTGTTTGTCAAAAAATATCTAGAATGTTAAACGTTTTGGAATGTGATGCTTTGAATCGATTGGCAGCTATCTATAGCATATTGATTTGCTACCAGAATAATTCTCAAATCTATAACATCTCTGTGCTTAATTAAATTACATAAGTCTTATTTCTTGTACCTTTTTAGGTCTGCTTGATGTTTTCGAATATATTCAGGAGAGCGTCCAGATATTATCACAGCTCGTTGAATATCCGTGAGTACATAAATCTAAAATGCAGAGAGAGAACATCATTCAATTCTTTAAAGTACGCAACCTGAGCTGTTTGGTGTGGAAAACCCGCACCACTTTCTCAAACTCGACTTTAACCTCGCGTTTTCCCGCCGTTAGAGAAGTTTTCAGGTATTTATTTTGACATCTCAGTTGATAAGCTACTGTGTATTACTGTTTCTGGTCCTGCGACACTTAATCGAAAAATGCTTCAAAGATTAACTTGCCTTGACTTCAGCAGTGTCGTTGAAATACGGCTCTTCCCCAAATCTGTCCTTGGCAATGACGTTAACAACAAACTGGGCCCCAAACTTCCCTGCGTATGACGCCTTTGCTTTGATCCAGCCAGTTTCTCGATCCATACTGAATTCTTCGCTATCCTTAGTTTGTAGAAGCTCGTACGATATACGGCTATTGTTTCCTTCGTCAGAGTCTACGGCCTGAGAATTCAGACAATAATCAACGGAAAAAATTTGAGTTTTTCTTATTGCACCGATAGTCTCGAAAAGGAAACGCGATTTTAAAACTGATTCTCCCCCCACGACGAGGTTAACGTAACCTCCTTGATAAACTAAGCAAACTATCAAAATGAAAGCAGCTGGGAGGTACTGGCATTATATACTATAGTATTATACCGTGGCTCTGTTCCAGCTGATTCCGAATTTATAAATCGATGGTTGGAAACATCAAGTTGTGCTGAACATAACAATCCTCCCTGACCTTTTCAGCGACAAACTAGAGCGAACTTTCCACTAGAGGTAGAAAATTTGCAATGCCTGGGCAATTAAAAGAAATAACTTACAAAGACTTGTATGATGTTGCTTCCATGTTTTGCATCTTCAGAAACTCCTAAAACCGAAACGACAAAGAGCAATGTTACAAAGGTATAAATTTGTTTTGCGAGACATGAACGCCGAAGGCAAAAGTACGAAAGCCGAGGAGTCGGGAGTCAGAAGTCGCAAGTCGAACGAAAGTTGAAAGTCGAAAGTCGAAAGTCGAAAGTCGAAAGTCGAAAGTCGAAAGTCGAAAGTCGAAAGTCGAAAGTCGAAAGTCGAAAGTCGAAAGTCGAAAGTCGAAAGTCGAAAGTCGAAAGTCGAAAGTCGGAAGTCATTAGAAAAGAGTCGAAAGTTGAAAGTCGGAAGTCTCTCCTCGGCTTTCGTACAAAAGTATTATTTTTCTCTAAATCTAAAACAATGTTAAATTTTACCTCCGGTGTAAAGCTTCTTTGTAAAGCGAGGACCATTATCGTTTTGATCCGCGATTTCCACAATCACCAGCTGTACGCCAAGATCATCTGTGTAAATAACATTACATATTGAGAAATATAAAAAAGTTAAAAGTAAATAACCAATCAGAAGAAATGGTTAAACTTAATTACCTGGCAATGGCGCTTGAGTCGTGTTAGTTTGATTTGAACCTGCATCCGGGGCCGCTCTTCTATTCCTCGGCTGAAGGGAGACTGGATCGAGCTGAAAGCGGTAAGGGACGACACCACTAAATTAAGATTATCATGCAAGGTTTACCAACTCCGAAAAATTTCGGTGTGTAGTGATCATTATTGTTGTGAACGAACCTTAACATTCGATGATTTTATGTACAGGAAGAACTGCGCGCTATCCTCCCGATCCTGTCAAGAACAAACTTAGATGTGAGCATGTTTTGTACTTTGTAACCTGCTAATCAGCTTCAGTGATAAATTTAAATGCTCGAGTTAAAAATTGATATTTTACAATATCATATATTTCAACAGCACTCACGGCTTGTCGAGTTGTGCGCAATACTCCAGTCGTCTCATTTAGCGTGAACATGGCTCCGCTATTTCCACCTGTAAAGATTAACATGGTGATAAAGAGTAAATAAACATATAAATAAATAAACAAATAAATGAACTATTATGCATCATAACTTTGCCTTCCAGGATGCAGGAAGACAACTATTTAATAATCTCATTTCTTAATATGCATACAGTAAGACACACAGAAATTACTCATTGGATTGGAGAATAGATTTATGCAAATAAAGAGGAACAACTTTAATTTCATGTACTTTGTATGTAGTAATATATGGGTCCAGCCTGATCTGCATCGAAAGCTGCTATCGTTCCAACTTCAGCTCCTGCTGGGAGGTTTTCGCCAACTGATAACGTGACTTGACGCTTAAGATGAACAAAACAAACAGTTGTTTTAAGAAGATTTTAAACAATTAAAACAACAAGTCAAATTTCCCTATTAAAGATCTTTTTTTTAATGCAAATCTGAAAGGCTTCAGATTCAAAACAAATCCTAGTTTTAAACCTGTTCTTTTATTTTAAAAATGATGGCACTTGAAAAATAATCGCTGCCTAGCTTACTTAAATACAAAATCATACTGTCAATAATTTGACCGCGTAGACATTGAATTACATAAGTATTTAAAAAAAGAAAAAAAAAAGAAAAGGAAATGAAAAGAAATGAAAAACAATCCCTAAAAGACTGATAAATTCAGATCACTCAAAACTAGCACAATTCTATATCAAGCATGATTCCATACCTTGACAAACACGGGAATGTTATCGTCAATATTCACTAACTTAATGGTTATGGTTTTTTCGCTTGATAATGGAGGACTTCCAAGATCTTGAGCTTTAATTGCGAGCTGAAGTAGAAACGTTGAAAGTTAAGACAGCTCTTCCCTAAAATTCTCTCTTCCGTTTTTATTATAATTATTATTCTTGTTACTAGTTTGCATGTATTTGCAGTTAAATGAATGATGATGACAAGTTGGAGATGGTACGGGTGATGGTGATAATGACCTCGACGTTATTTTCCATCTTACCGCGTCTTCTGACTGTTACTGCATAAGCACTGCCATGATCTGGCTCCAATTAAACCAGTTTCGACAAATTTCATATTATTTCAGCGAGGAGTATCTGGTATAACACATGCAATCTCCTTTGGCCTTAAAAGATTTCTTGTTCTTAGGAAAAAACTCAAGACTAGCAGAATTTGGTTGAACATAAATTATAGTACATCCTTACCTTGTAGAATTTCGGTTCTTGATCATAATCAAGACTCTTTGCTGTTCGCAGTTCGCCGTTAGTTTCATTCAGTGTGAACCTCTCGTCATCGTTCCCACTTATGATGGTGAACTTGACCTGCGCATTGACATCTTCGTCTCTGTCCGTTGCATTGATTGTTGTGATCAGTGTACCAACTGTTGCATTCTGTAGAGATAAGATTTGCTTTATCTGTCACAATCATTAAGAGAAAGAGTTTTGGCTGGCTAGTCATTGCATTGAATCAGTTCGTCATTATAGTGGTCTGTCTCTCGGTTAAACAGACAGATAGATGATCAGTTGGGTGGTCATGAGTTAGTTGGTGCAGTTTCTGTAGGAAAACGAGACTACGAATACCCTAGTACCTACAGATAGGCTTCTTCGATAGGTTAACAAACCGGAAAAAGAAAGGTCAACTTTCGATTCAGAAGAGCTATCCTGTCTGAGCTTGGACCCAGTTTCTGTAGCGTGAAGGAATTCAGAGTATTTGGCTTCCATCTGAAAGCAAAACTAGTTTTACGCAGGGTTTTAGCCCTGCTCTCTCTCTCTCATACTCAAAGCAGCTTACGTCCTACGAGGAGGCTTTAACAATTCACCGTACGTTCTTAGAATCTGTAACGTTAGTTTGCCCTTCTAGAACAAATTACGCACCTACACCACACAGCTAGAAACTAGAAACGGAAATATCTTTCCCATTGCGTATTATATCTGGGCTATTGCTTCGGTGTTTGAAAAGTGATGAGAACCGTCTCTCACGTTTCTTACACTGCATAAAAACGACGTTTAAATATACCTCAAGCACAGAGAAAACTGCTTGTGTATGAATCGCGGGAATGTGGTCATTGACGTCAACGATGGTGATATTTATCGTGGTTTGGTTCATAAGCGGAGGCTGTCCTTGATCGGCGGCTGTCACCAAAAGACTATAGAAGTCTCTTACTTCTCGATCAAGCGCCTTGGCCTTCAGCAACTCGCCGGTAGCATTATTTAACGTAAAGACTCCTAACAAAGAAAAAAAAGGTAGCCATTAAGATTCAATTACTTCGTGTGTGGATAATCTTGAATAGACAAATTTTCTTATTTCAAGTCAGATTCATACTGCCATAAAGCACTTGCGTTAACATTGCGTTAAATTCATCGAAATTTTCCTTGGCCGTATTCCTCTGTACGGCCCGCTAATAAAGTTCGTTTGAATAGAAATCTTCTCCTTCTATCTGAACCCAGAGATATAATAAATATCTGACTAATTCCGTTTTTCCGGTCCGTCCATTAAGTTAGAGAGCCTCGTTTTTCTGCTCGGATTCTTGGCCCGGGCGCGTCGCACATGGGCCATAAATCCCAGTTAAGTTATTCGGTCCGTAACTTACTGCACGTACTTCGAACTCGGTTAGTTTGAGGTTTATACACTAATATCATCGTAAAATACTTAAATACATACTCCACTGTTTCACAAACCTTCTTCGTTTCCTTTAGTAATACTGTAAAGTATTCTCGCGTTGTCGCCCACGTCATCGTCTTTTGCGGAGACCGTTAGGATTCTCCTGTCATCTGATGGCCCCAGTCCCTTGGTGTCCTCTCGCACTGACTTGAGGTAGGACTTTTTCTCAAACTTTGGAGTGACGTCATTGACATCAAGAATCGTGACAACCAACTGGCAATGAAAAGTACAAATGCAATGTGAGAGAAAATTATAATAAAACATTGAGAGGGGACATATACGGCTAAGTTCTTGTTAAGGAATAATGTGTGATCAGCAAACTTCATAATGTATATACTACGTTAAGAAAAGATGACATAAAGCTGACAGACTGAATTTCCAATAAAAATCCTATATCTAAGGAAATCTTGTTCCTCAATAACTCTCAGTTCACTTCCGTCTGAAAAATTTTCCCCGAAGGATTTTGAAATAATCCTTTAGTTTCGTGAATTTTGGTCACATCGACAGCTCTTGCAGATAATGCAGATAAAGAATTCGTTAAGTTAATTTTTTCATTATAAAGATAATCACAACATGATAGGATTGGCTGCGACGAAATATTGTACATGACTCTGTGTTCAAAAAGTAAACAAAAAACGTAGAAATAAAGCTGTTTGTACTCACAAGGACTGTTGATTTTTGCTCTGTGTTGTTTACTCTGCTGATGGCAGCCAAAGTTAGAGTGTATGATGGAACTTTCTCGCGATCAAGACCATCTCCTGTCCAATTCAAGAACACGGTGCCATTTAACTCGCCGATCACAAAATTTCTCTGTTCATTTCCTCCTTCGATCTGGTAAAGTATGGTCTTGTGCGCTTCGTCAGCATCAATATCTGAGGCGTTCACTTGGGCGACAAATGCGCCTGCGGTGGCATTTTCTAATATGCTTGCGGTATATCCATTCTTGTGGAAGACAGGCGCATTGTCATCTACGTCACTAACGGTTACAAGGAGATTAGTGTAACCAGAAAGGGCAGGGATACCCAAGTCTCGTGCCGCAATGGTAATGTTGTAGAAGGCTTTGGTTTCGTGGTCAAGTTTTTGTCTTAAGGTAATGACACCAGTAATGGCTGCAAAAACGAAACGAAAATATAGCGTTTTATCGTTAATAAACGTTTTGCAATTTTCCATCATTTTTTCGAAGCAGTATTTGTAGCTGCTGTCTTTGTTCGGACGCTCATAGTACGCAAGCCCATACCACACGTGAACCAAGTTTTGTTGAAATATTGTGCTCCTTTCTCGTAATGCCGAGTTCTATTTCGTGTGGTGCGTTGTTTTCGTTACCAACACTCACAGGATGAGAAGGGGAGATCCCCTCGGTGTTCTCTGGAGCTCAGAGACTGGACATATAACCAGAGAATTTGAATTTATGAAGCTCGAATTCTAATGAAGCACACAAATATTTAGTTGTTCCAATGGGCTTATCATGAAAAATGTCATTCAAGTTCTGAGAAAAGCATTCATACCGTTTATTGCAAATTGGTCGTCAGGGTCTCCGCTCTCAATACTGTATCGGAACTGACCGTTTCTTCCCTCATCGAGATCCGAAGCAGAAACAGTTTCCACCTAACATAACAGACACATAACAAGTTAGTTTTCGGCGATGGCATCAAATGATTTCAATAGAATGTTTCAATTTTTTTTATCAAACAGGATGAACAGGCTTGACTCTCGCCATGCATTATTTAGTATTCAAAGCCAAATATTTGAGTGTTACACATTTGACTTTGAATTTCAAATTCGTTCTATTTCGTCAGTAAACGTAGAAATAACCATTGTATTTCGCAATTAAAACTCATTGCTTTATAATGCAACGGATTGTTCCTTCTTTCTGTTTGCACTTGTATATGGGTGTACCGGCAAATAACCACTTTTTTCCCAGGGCACTGGCTAACTCCACTGATTTATAATCTCTTAGGGCTACGTCGTAGTTTTGAATTAGTTTTAAGGGAAAATGTTAACCACCCTTAACCTTTTAACTCCCAAGATCTCATTAGTAATTCTTCTTTCTGACTGCTGTACTATTCTTATGGTTTTAGTTCTGAGAATTTGTTACTGGATCAACTGATAATCCCCTGATTGATATTTCTCTTTATTCTCATCACTTGTCTGTTTGATATTGTATTGATATTGTAGGGAGAAATTCTGTTTTGGTCGCTCATGGGAATTCAAAAGTCAAGGCACTCACTTCTGTCTTTGTAAATGTACTTTCTGGTAGAGTGACATTGTAAAAGGCTTGTTGGAACTTCGGAGCGTTATCATTAACGTCATTTATCACGACTTGAACGGTCACGTTGCTCTCTAGAGAAGGACTTCCTTTGTCTCGAGCCTGGAATGAATATTTGAAATAAAACGAATAAAGGAAAATATGATATAACAGAGAAATTCAATTAATTTATGGACACACCAGAAGGAGATGAAAAAATAGTCATGGCGTTGGACTAAGTTCTTCTTACAATGATAATAAATGTGACGGAGCTGTTTTTCTCTCTGTCCAGTTTAGCCGCGGTCATGATCCTGCCCGTTGTGTCATTTATCATGAAGAGTTCACCTTGAAAAAACAAAACAAAAAGAAATTCTCAAACAAATTAACTTTATTACCTCGAACGGCAGCTGACAATGAGACAATAACCAAGTTGTGATACTTCTGTTCCAAAAGAAACAGCGAAGCCAACCTTAATTCCATCTACTTACTGGGCTTTCAAGCTACGGTACAATGTACTTCCCAGAATATCTTCCTAATTAACTCCCCACCTACCTCTAAGCTTGTTACTTCCTTACTTCTTATCCCACTACTTTCAGGTTATCTACCTTTCCGCCAGCACACCTTTCCACCTTCACACCTACCCCAGACTACCTACCTTACCATCTACAAGTCCTTGTTCATATCTTCATCTGTCTAATGGCTACCAAAGTTCTGTCAGCAATCGCACCTACCAACCTAAGTTCATATTACCCACCCTCCCCGCATCAAGAGTAAACATCCTCCATCTTACTTACTTACCGACCACGTACCTCTTTACCTGGTTACCTTCCGACCTGCCTAACTAACTAACTACAGGTTACCAACCCACCTGATCACTTTTATCTTCACTTCTCTTACACCTTCAGGTTGCCTACATATATACTATATCAAACTGTTAACCTTTTGTCATAGTTACCTGCATACCTACTGTGCGCCTACAGATATCATGAATGTGAAACCTACTGTCTTTCAAAATAACATACAATCCTATTCTTTCTTGTATATCGCGACATTGTACTTGCTTTCATGCCATCAGTCCTAATTACAATCACTTAGTCGCTTACTTCCATTCTCCATCTTTGTGAAATAGGTTATCACTGCATTTGACCCCTCATCATCATCTGAAGCAGACACCAAACCAACAGCGTGGCCAACAGCGACATCTTCAGAAACTTCGAAGAGGTAATTTGACTGCGAGAATACCGGTGTGTTATCGTTATCGTCCAGCACTGTCACAATGACCTACAAGAAGAATCAGTTGTAAAGTAAGATGTACTGAATGATTGGGCCGATGATAGCCTAAGTGTCGAGAGTTTTGAAAATTAATCATAAGCTAGTTCTACGCACAAGCTGGATGATTCACAAAGCCTTGTGTCATCCTCTTTCTTGAAGATTGAAGAAAATTATAAAAACGTGCTATTTCATCTAAGATACCCGAATGCAGCCAGCCGAACCCAAATCCGAGCTCGAACCGGTGCCCGAGCTCAGGCTAAGGCCTGAGGCCGCATGCACAGATCAGCCCCAGTAGCAAAATTATGTAGATAAAAACTGGAATAGAAACAAAAACAGATTTGTGCTAACCTGTGTGGTTCCTTCTCGACTTCTTATAGCGTCGTCAGCTGCCAGCACAGTCAACGTATATGAATCAGCACCAGCTTGCTCTCGGTCCAAACGAACCGCTGTCGTAATATTTCCCTAAAGAAAACATTCAAATGAGGTATGAATGATTTTCGTTTTGCGTTATGTAAAGGCTATTTCCGCACCAACCTGACCACTTGACCAGATGAGTAATGAAATTGAGAGAAGTGACTGGTTGCGCACGAGTATTATCAATCTTAGATAATTTTCCACCGTGCCTCGCAAAGCAGCAACGAGGCACGATTCGATCGCAAACATGTAATAAGACAATTTGTTGATAGGTTTTTAAACTTTCATTTCGTCTTTGTGATTTCTTGGTGGAGGAAAAATAACTATATCAACAGAGAAGTTCAACAGATCCACATAAATGGTAAAATTGATTTGCAAATGTCCAACCTCCTACAATCCAACAAAAGATCGAAACTTTTTAACTTACAGTGTCTTGGTCGATGTTAAAACGGAAATTTCCTCCGCGAAGTCCATAAGACAGTCTAGCATTAGTTCCCACATCCTTGTCTGTTGCAGTGACAACCAGGAGTGATGTACCTATTGGTTGGTTTTCCATGACGTAGGCTTGATAGACAGTCTGGTTAAAAGTAGGACTGTTGTCATTGATGTCGACTAAAGTTAAAGATACCTCCACCTCAGACGAGAGCGCTGGAGAACCAAGATCCGTCGCTCGAACGGTGAAGTTGAAGTATGGCGACATTTCCCGATCGAGTTCCTTATCAGCCTGGGAGATAAATCCAGTAACTGGATCAATTGAAACGTAATTTGTAGCATTGCTAACAATGCTGAATCTTATTTCGGCATTCGCGCCCACATCCGCATCTCCAGCTGAGACGGTCAAAATACTGGTGTCCTTTGGAGACTCTTCGCGGTAATCTTCGATATAAAAGGACTTTGTAAAGACTGGCGGGTGGTCATTAACATCGTCAACTTTGATCACGATTTTCACTTTGTCCGATGTCAGGTTTACACTGTCCGTTGCTTGCACATAAATGACGTGTTCGGTCATATTTTCCCTGTCCAGGTCTTTCGCAGTTGTTATCACACCAGTGTCTCGGTCTATACCGAAATATCCACTGGAATCGCTCTTTACGAGTGAGTAAGTGTGACTGTCGCCCACATCTCTGTCATGAGCTTTCAGTTTGGTAACATTCGTTCCAACTGAAGCATTTTCTGAGATATGATATGTCAACATATCGCTGTCGAAGAAAGGTTTTTCATCAATGACGTCAGTGACAGTAATGTTCACTTGACACGCGCCTTCCTTTGAATTTTGTCCAATGTTAGAGGCTGTCACATGAAGTACATAATAGCTTTTGAATTCCCGGTCGAGGCTAGAGTCCACGATGATATCACCTGTAAAAGAGAAGGAGCTTATTACCTATTCTGAATCTGAACTTTCAGTTACAAAGTCAATTTTAGATGAAAGATCATGAGAGTTTCCAAGGAAAAAGATATTCTCTTAAAAGGAGATTACAACAGAGCTCGAGATGGGCTTCTTTACGACTCACTGAGTTTTCATCAAGAGTTAAGCGAGGACTGAGCATGAAATTTACCCTTTTACAGACCTGTTGCTCTGTTGATGTAAAACTTCGCATCAGCTCCTGTCGACGTGTAAGTAATCTCTTTATTCAAGATCAGAAAGTCAAGATCTGTGGCTGTTACCCTCCTGACCGTTGTACCACGTGCAGCATCCTCGGATATGTTTGCATAATACACTTGCTGGCTAAACCGGGGGCGTTCATCGTTGACGTCGGTT